TCCCCGAACCAGGAATCAACCCATTACTTCCTGGTTCATAGCTCAGCATACAATGAACGACTGAGGCATGCTGGCTGGGCCACATTCACATTCTTGTACAAAGTCTCATGGAACTAGCGAGAAACGTCCTGTAGGAAGCCCTTTGCAGAGGAACAGGTAGTAGATCCTTCCTCATTTTGTATCATTCTAGACCATGTTACTCTCCTTGTGGATTCCTCCCCTCCCCCTATTTAGGGACCATTTAATGTATAAAAGCCATTTTCTCAGATTCTAAGACAAGTTTCTTGAACATCATTCCATAGAACCACACCTTGGTGTGATAGATGAACATTTATGATGAGATTTCCATTATTTTTTTTCTTTTTAAAATATCTTTTCATTTATTTCAGAGTGTAACGAAGAGGGAGAGAGAAAAACATCAAGGATGAGAGAGAATCATTGTTTGGCTGCTTCCTACGTGCACCTTATAGGGGGTTAAGCATGCAATCCAGGCATGTGCCTTGCCTGGGAGTCAAATCCTTTCCTGGTCCATAGGTGGAACCACTGCAGCCCGGCAAGGTTACCTTTTGCTGTAAGACCAACATGTAATTCACCAGCGTTTCCTTTTGTCCTAGGTTGCTGCTGTGGAAGTCGGGATTTGGAGGCACCCATTGAACAGAACGTTTCTATAAGAGTGTCCCAGGCAAAGAGGACCAAAGTAGCTTCATCTTCCCAGAAGAGCCATCCCTGTGAGGGTTGTGGTGCAGTCTTGAGGGACATTTTCCAGGTGATTGAGCAGCAGGGAACACAATATAGTACGAAACTGCTGAGGTGTGGGGCATGTGCAAAGTCATTTTATTTTAGTTCACAGTGTCACCAGCACCATGGGCAGCACATGAGAGCAAAGCGTTTGATACGAGGTGTGGACAGGGCCTCACTTGCGAAAAGCTGCACATTCAGTGTGTCCCAGAAGCTTTTTACCGATCAGAAGGTCAGAGACAGCATCCTTACTGTCTCAGGACAACTTCAGCACCAGACTTCTCATACCAGGGATAAATCAGGATCTGGGGTGACATCTCAAAACAAAAAAAGTTGCCATTGCAAGAAAGAATGTAAAAAAGCCATCGATACTGGAAAGCAGTGTGTTGTGGGCACTGAAAAGAAAAAATATTTTAAAGAAATCTCTGAAGTTAATTATCATCAGAAAGTTCACTCATTGGAAAAGCCCTATGAGTGCAGTGAGTGTGGAAAATGTTTTAAAGAACATTGGATTCTTATTCAACACTGTCGTGTTCATTCTGGAGAAAAGCCTTATGAGTGTGGTGAATGTGGAAAGTCCTTTAGCCAAAGTGCTGGCCTCAGTAGACACCAGAGAGTTCACACTGGAGAAAAGCCATATAAGTGTGGTGAATGTGGGAAATCCTTTAGCCAAAATTCCAGCCTCATTCACCACCAAAGGGCTCACACTGGAGAAAAGCCTTATGAGTGTGGTGAGTGTGGGAAAACCTTCACTCAGTGTTCCAGCCTCATTGAACACCAAAGGGTTCACACAGGAGAAAAACCTTTTGACTGCAGTGAATGTGGAAAATGTTTTACCAGAATAGCCTGCCTTCGTCGTCATCGGAGACTTCACTCTGCTGAAAGGCCTTATGCGTGTAATGAATGTGGAAAATCTTTTAAGAGGAAATCTCTGTTTTGTTATCATCAGAGATTACACACTGGAGAAAGTTTGTACAAGTGCAGTGAATGTGGGAAATCTTTTATCCATAGCTCTGGACTCCATTATCATCAGAGAGTTCACAATGGAGAAAGACCTTATAAGTGCACTGATTGTGGGAAATCTTTCATCAGGAACTGTGACCTTCACAACCACGAGAAACTTCATACTGGAGAACGGCCTTACGAGTGCAATGACTGTGGTAAATCTTTTTTCAGGAACAGTGACCTTTATAAACATCAGCGAGTTCATACTGGAGAAAAACCGTACAAGTGCAATGATTGCGGGAAATCTTTTACCCATAGCTCTGGACTCCATTATCATCAGAGAGTTCACAGTGGAAAAAGACCTTATGAGTGTACTGATTGTGGGAAATCTTTTATCAGGAATTGTCATGTTCATACTCATCAGAGTTCACACAAAAGAAAGGCTCTTTGAGTGCTATGAATGTGGATAAATTTAACAAAAATTCTAGCCTCAGGACAAATGAACATACATGCTAGAGGAAGTTTTTAGATGTGTAGGAACTGTAGTTTCTTTGTTCAGTGTTAACAACACTGAAGGAAACTCAGGCTTCAGTTATCTGACTTTCATAAATCCCATCCTCAAGAGTAGGGAGATTTTCCATAATGTTATGTGGGAAGCATATGTACTTTTTAAAAATATATATATTTTATTGATTGTTTTTCACAGAGAGGAAGGGAGAGGGATAGAGAGTTAGAAACATCCATGATAGAGAAACATCAATCAGCTGCCTCCTGCACACCCCTACTAGGGTTGTGACAGCAGCCAAGGTACATGCCCTTGACCTGAATTGAACCTGTGACCCTTCAGTCCACAGGCTGATGCTCTATCCACTGAGCCAAACCAGTTAGGGCTTGTACTTCTTTTATACTTGCCTGTCCAGAGCTTATAGTGCAGATTTGTGTCACTGAAAAGTTCTGTGACAGAATCCATCTCCCCTGAACCACCATTAAGCAAGTCTCCACAGTTTTCATCATTCACCATTTTTTTTTAATTTTTTTTTTTATCAGTCACCATCTTAAAGTCCTCAGGGAATCTGACTTTGTTCTCTTATTAGTTGGAGGAAATTCGGAATAACATGAGCCCTTGGAGATCTGCATTTTTTTAATATATATATTTTTATTGATTTTTTAAAAATATGTATTTTATTGATTTTTTACAGAGAGAAAGAGAGAGGAATAGAGAGTTAGAAACATCGATGAGAGAGAAACATCGATCAGTTGCCTTGTGCATACCCCCTACTGGGAATATGCCTGCAGCCAAGGTACATGCCCTTGACCAGAATCGAACCTGGGACCTTTTAGTCCGCAGGCTAACACTCTGTCCACTGAGCCAAACTGGTTAGAGTTTATTGATTTTTTACAGAAAGGAAGGGAGAAGGATAGAGAGCTAGAAACATCCATGAGAGAGAAACATCAATCAGTTGCCTCATGCACACCCCCTACCGGGGATGTGCCTACAGCCAATGTACATGCCCCTGACTGGAATCGAACCTGGGACCCTTCAGTTTGCAGGCCGACTCTAACCACTGAGCAAAACCGGTTTTGGCAGGTGATCTGCATTTCATTTGCTCTATTTGGGGCATGTACATGACCCATTATTGGCCCCAGAGAACATTCTTTGAGTTCAGCTCTATCTTCTAGATAAAAACTTTTATCAGAGACATCTTTTCCCTAGCTACCTCTGGTGAATATTTCCACCGCTGAAGTCACCATCAGAAGGCTGGTCGGTTACATATCCATTTGGTTTTGAAAATAAAAGCCTTTTTGTTTCAGTCCTTTTCATTTTGGATGTTTTCTTTGTGGCATAGATTATAAGCCTATCAGAGCTCTACAAGCATAAAGAAGTAAAGTTTTTTTTATCAGGGTTCAACCTTTCTCTGCCTATGAGGTACAGTACTTTGGAGAAATTAGCTCACCACTTTCCACAAAATTTGCATTGCTACTCACTTCCTTCTAACAGGGGTCTTCAAACTACGGCCCGCGGGCCACATGCGGCCCGCAGAGGAGTCTGATCCGGCCCGCCAGGTTTTTTGGGCAGTGAGCGCAGCTGAGGTGTTACAGTAGGAATTAGTAGTTCATATACTCCAGCTCTCTGAGGGACCGTGATCTGGCCCCCACTTTAAAAAGTTTGAGGACCCCTGTAAGAGTACTTGTGGGAAGCCTGAATGCTACTATGAGTTTTAGAAGACCCAGACAATCACTTTCAAAACAGCTGGGGTGACAACTTCACCTTCTTCTAGGATCAGCATGAATTTTGTTTTGCACACAGGGTATGCCATTACTTTTGTTTGTCTTCATATTCACCTGAGGATATTTTTTCTTTTTCTTTTTTCTTTCTTTTTTTTTTTTTTTTTTTAAATATATTTTATTGCCGAAAACGGTTTGGCTTAGTGGTAGAGCATCGGTCTGGGGACTAAAAGGTCCCAGGTTCGATTCCGGTCAAGGGCACATTGGTTGCGGGCACATCCCCAGTAGGGGGTGTGCAAGAGGCAGCTGGTTGATGTTTCTCTCTCATTGATGTTTCTAGCTCTCTATCCCTCTCTCCTCCTCTCTGTAAAAAATCAATAAAAATATATTTAAAAAAATATATATATATATTATTGATTTTGTACAGAGAGGAAGGGAGAGAGATAGAGGGTTAGAAACATCGATGAGAGTCATCCATCAGCTGCCTCTTGCACACCCCCTACTGGGGACATGCCCGCAACCAAGGTATATGCCCTTGACCTGAATTGAACCCGGGACCTTTCAGTCCCCAAGCCGACGCTCTATCCATTGAGCCAAACCGCTTGAGGCTTTCATTGATTTTTAGATAATGGAAGTGAAGGGAGGAGAGAGAAAGACAGAGAGACATCCAGGTGAGATAGAGACTCATCCATTCATTGCCTCTCCATGTGCCCCAACATGGTCCTGGAATTGAACCTGCAACCCAAGTATGTACAATTGATAGGGAATCTCACCCAAAAAAGTTGAAGCAAGGTCTGACACTCATGCCAATGCATTTGAAGGAAATTGCTCTTTTTTTAAGGTCTTAAATTGGGTCACGTGCCTTTTCATTTAATATTTTCATTTTGTATTCTTTCATTTTTATATTATTTATTCTTTTAATTGACTTCAGAGAGGAGATGGAAACATCAATAATGATAGATAATCATTGAATCGCTGTCTCCCCCACACCTCCATCTGCCCTTGACTGAAATTGATACATATATTTTGTTCTGAAGCGCAGATGCCATGTGGACTTACAATTGGCATCTGAGGGAAGGGGCGAGCACAGACTGTGGTGCTGAGCCCAGAACCAATCTCCAGGTCCTTGGGGTCAGAATGGAGTGTTTGCTGCAATTAACCAGAGCCAGCCCTGCCCTCCAGGGAGCAGCATCCCTTTACAGGGTGCCTCCAGGGGCAAAAGTCCTAGCAGCTATCCAGGGAGAACTCTGTGGCCTTTGGAGGGCTAGAAACTACATTACCCAGAAACACGCGCGCTGGGTTGAGCCAGTGGCAGAGTAGGGTAAAAGCATTTCCTCCAGTTGGGGCGGGACTTCCGGCATCGTCCTCCTCGCGGCCATATCGGCTGCTTGTCGGAGTCTGCCGCCTTGGAGTCGCCGGGAGGCATTGGGAGGCAGGAGGCGACACGGAGTCCCGATCCCCGCTGTCGCCACACGTGAGGGCGAGGCTCGGCGACCCCACGAGGGACCCGCCTCAGGGCGGGGCCGGGTTTCTCCTCGCCCTCCGCCCCGCCCGCAGGTCCGATGGCGGCGGCTGCGCGGAGGCGCCCGGCTGAGGTGAGCGCGTCCCCGCCTCCTCGCCCCGCCCCGCAGCCCGGGGTGCGGGCCCCCGTCCCCTCCTGCCGCCGGGCCCCGTGGCCCCCCTCAGGCGGGAAGCCGGTCATGGCGGCGGCGCGGCTGGTCGGGGCGGAAGCGGGCCCGCGCCCCGAGGGGAAGGGGATGCGGGCAGTCACGTGACCCCCGGCGGGCGGCCCCAGGCCCCGGGAGGAGGAGGACCGGGGGCTCCGCGGGCGGAGGAGGCGGGGGAGGAGGTGACAGCGGACACAGCTCCCCCTCCCCTCCCGATCGGGGTCCCCGGAATGTGGGGGCGCTGGGAGGGCGAGGGCGTTTCCGGGTCCCTGTGCCCGGCGGGGAGCCCCTCAGGCCCGGGGCGCGGGGAGGGAGGACGGGGAGGGGGCGGGGCCTCTGAGCTGCGGGAGCTCCCGGGGCGGATGGGGACGCGGGGCCAGCGGTGCGGAGAGGCCTGTCCAGCGGCGGCTCCCCGAGTGCGTGGCTGTGGGGGCGCCGCGGGGACGGGAGGGGCGGGGTGCGGTCTGCAGAAGGCTGTGCGCAGTGCGGGGACGTGGGAGTTAGGGTCCCGGGGCCGAGCATGGGGGTCTGCCAGGTGGAGCCTGAGCCCGGGCTGGGCGGTGCCCTGTCTCACTCCAGAGACCCCGAGGGGGATGCATGCCATGATGGGGGCCCTGCACGGCCGGGACCGAGCTGGGTTCCACCTCTGTGCCCTGCTGCCCGCTGTGGCTGAGGGCAGGCCCGCAGGCATGCAGGGACCCTGAGGATCGGAAGGGGGGTACCCCCTGGCTCCTGTGTCCCCTGTGGGGTTCCTCGGAGGGGAGCTTTGGAGGGGAGTGGGGGGTAGATGCCTGGGGAGAGGGGCTGCGGGTTCTCGGGCTCAGAATGGTCACGGTGTCCTCTGTCCCCGTTCTCACAGGCCGCGGTGACCTTGGAGGACGTGGCCGTGCGTTTCTCGCGGGAAGAATGGAGGCTGGTGGACGAGGCCCAGAGACGCCTGTACGTGCGTGTGATGCTGGAGAACTTTGCCCTCGTGTCCTCTCTGGGTAAGACTCACGGCCTCACCTGGGACTCGGGCTGGACTCTCCTCCCTCCCCCTCTCGGCTCTCTCAGTCCGCGGGCCTGGACCTCAGCGGGGCTGGGTGCGGGGTGGCTGCTGTGCTGCTGGGCCTGTGGGTTTGCACTGCCCTCTTCTCTCCCCTGCGCTCCCAGTGCTGAGCCCTTTGGGCAGGATTCAAGGTCAGCCAGTCGCATTGCATCGAGCTTCACGGATGCTCAGTGTCTGGGCTGATGTGTCCGGACCCATCCCCCTCCGTCTCCTGGTGTGGTCCCTTCCCGTCCCGGTCAGTCCTCCTGCCGCCTGTGCCGGGACTCGCAGGTGTGGTCTGGGTCGTGCTTATCTGAAGCCGGGCTCCTCTTCAAGGCTCTCCTGCGCAGCGTGTCCTGTTTAGATCTGTCTTCCTTTTCTGTTTCCCAGCCTGGTTGCAATACAGACTTGTGTGTGTTAAAGTGTACAGTGGGCCGAAACCGGTTTGTCTCAGTGGATAGAGCATCGGCCTGCGGACTGAAGGGTCCCAGGTTCGATTCCGGTCAAGGGCATGTACCTTGGTTGCGGGCACATCCCCAGTGGGGGGTTGTGCAGGAGGCAGCTGATCGATGCTTCTCTCTCATTGATGTTTTTCATTCTCTATCCCTCTCCTATCCTCTCTGTAAAAAATCAATGAAATATATATTTAAAAAAAATAATGTGTACAGTGGGCTGTGAACAATGAGACAGAGCGGAAAACCGGGAATATGGGCTTTATTCGAGGAGAAGGTACTGCCTACTGTCTCGCAGGGGAGAACAGTGGCCCATGCAGAGGGGAACATGCCTCTGAGGGGAGGAAGGGCTAGGGATGGGGCTCGTTGGTGGCTTAATGTGTGGTCCAGATAAGGTACATAGTCACTCAGGTACTTGGGAAAAGGGCTTAGGGTATTTGGCAGGTGCTGATTGGTGGTTCAGTGTATGGTCCATAGAAGGTGCTGGTTAGGTGCTCAGGAATGTCCAGGCCTCAGGTGCAGGTTAGGTTATACTCTGCCTCCTGCTGGGGGAAGGGAGTGTCTATCACCAAAGTAAAGGCCACAGTAAAGTTAATTAAACGTGTCTCTCCATATTAAGTTGCCTGGTATTTTTATGCTGTGAATGCTTAAGATCTACTCTCCATGCATTTCAATTACATGACATCACTAACTAGTCACCATGCTCTTAAGTCCGTCCTTAGAACTCACTTGTTCTTGTAAAGCAGTGGTTCTCAGCCTTCCTAATGCCACGACCCTTTAAAACAGCTTAAAATGTTGTGGGGACCCCCAACCATAAACTTATTTCGTCGCTGCTTCATAACTGTCATTTTTCTACTGTTATGAATCGAAATGTAAATATCTGATAATGCAGGATGTCTTAGGCAACCTCTGTGAAAGGGGGTTGAGAACACCATTGTAAAGGCATGTCTGTACTCTTTTTTGTTTTGTTTTGTTAATCCTCGCGTGAGGATATTTTTTCCATTGCTTTTCAGAGAAAGTAGACGGGTGGGAGGTGGGGAGAGAAACATCGATGTGACATCTTACCTAGACTGGTTGTCCCAAATATGCCCCCCATGATCCCTCTGTGCTAGGACTGACGCTCTAAACACTGAGCCACACCACCCAGGGCTGGCCATTTCTTAATTGGATTGTTTGTTGCTGTTCAGTTGTATGAACACCTTGCATATTTTAGCTCTCCCTTATGAGACAGCCTTTACACATGCTTTTCATTTCTCATGTCTGCTTTCTTTGCTTTGCAGATGCCTTTTCATTTGCTGTAGCTCAGCTCCTTCACCTTTGTCTTTGTTGTGTCTGCTGTTGGTGACATTTAAAAACCATTGCCAAAAACAATGCCAAGGAGTTTTAAATTTTCCTATGTCACATTGAAGTTTTTAATGCATTTCTTATTAATTTTTGTGAGTGGTATAAGGTAGGGGCCCAGTTTATTTATTGTAGGTGCATATCCAGTTTTCTCAACATTGTTTTTCACTTGTAGAGACAGAGAACAAGTGAGAGAGAGGAGTGGATGAGGGAGGAAAACATTCATTTGCTCTTCCTCTTATTTACACACTCATTGGTTGGTTCTTATATGTGCCCTGACCAGGGATTGAACCCACAACCTTTATTTATCTGGACAGTGCTCTAACCAACTGAGCTACCTGGCTAGGGTCCATCACTGTTCATTGAAGATACTATTCTCCCCCCCCCCCCCCCCCCATTTTGTGTTTTTGGTGTCCTTGTCAAAGAGTACTTGACCACATATGTGGGTTTCTTTCTGGGCTGTCTGTATTCTGTTCTTACACCAGTGTGTCTATGTTAGCTTTGACTAATTTGTTTTGTAATATGGTTTTAATCATGAAGTTTCATGTCTGTAACTCTACTGATCTTGTTTATCAAAATTGCTTGGACCGTTAGAAATCATTTGCTGTTTGAATTTTAGGATTTGTTTTCTATTTCTGGTAAAAATTCCACTGGATTTTGGTAGAGAACGCATGGAATCATGTTGCATTTGTTAGGAGAGATGTGTTAACATTAATAATTTTTTCAATCCAAGAACACAGGATGTGTTTTCATTAATTTGAATCTTCAGGTCTTTTCATCAGTTGTCTTATGGTTTTCAGAGTTCAGATCTTTCACCTTCTTTATTAAATTTGTTGCTAAATATTTTATTGTTTGTAATGGTTTTATGAATGAGATTGATTTCTAAATTTCTTATCCAGGTATTTTATTGTTAGTGTATTGATACACTAAGTTGTATGTGGATCTGGAATTCTGCAAAGTTATTGGGCTTGTTTATTTCTGCGGGAGGTGTTTTGCTGCAGTTTTTAGGATGTTCTTTATATGAGACTAGAGTCCCATCTTGTCCAGTGAGCCTCCCACCACTCCAGCAGGAGCGGGCTGGAGTCACAGCACTGCCACCGGGAGCCCTGCTGCTTCCAAGGGAGGCAGGAGTAAGCCACAGGCTCCTGTGGGGGCCTGGAGGGACCCGAACTGATTCTGAAGGAGGCGGGAGGCGGGGGTGTGGAGGGAACCTCTGGCACCACCTGCGGGTGGGGGGTGGAGCAGGCTGACCTATCTCCTGGTGACTAGTTGTGCACGCCCACCCACCATTGTGAATGTGACACCATAACAGATAATTTGCATATCACCGCTTTATTTTATAGATAAAGATATAGATAGATTGATAGACAGATAATATCATCTGCAAACACAGGCAGCTTTACTCCCTTAATATGTGTGTGGGTATTTTATTTCAGAGAGCAAGAGGGAAAGGAGAGAGAGAGAAATATCAATGATGAGAGAGAATCATTGTTCACTGCCTCCTGCATCCCCACCTAAGGGGGACTAAGCCTGTTAGCTGTGCATATGCTCTGACTGGGATTCAAACCGTGACCTTCTGGTTCCTAGATTGTCGCCCAACCATGAGTGACACTGGTCAGGCCATTTTAAATGTTTTTAAATCTTCATTTAAGGATATTTTCTCCATTGATTTGTAAAGACAGTGAAGGATGGCTGACATGTACACATAAGAAATTATTTGACATTGAAATGGGACTCAAAAGAACTGTTGGCCCAGAAAGGAACTCACTACAGACTGATTCATATGCCTCTCAGCATAACCATTATTGCTTGTTGCAATTTAGGTTCTTATAAGGGTATTTCTTGGATCACATGATCCCACACACCTAGAGGAAATAATGAACAACATAAACTGATGAACAAAAACAGACCCAGAGAAAGAGAAACAGTGATCAGACTCTCAAACCTCAGAGGGAAAGTAGGAGAGGGTGGGGGTAAGGGGAAGAGATCAACCAAAGGACTTGTGTGCATACATATGGGCCTGGCCAGTGTCCATGGACAACAGGGGGTTGGGGACATATGTAGGGAGGGATTTGGGATGGGAATGGGGGGATAAGGACAATTATGTGAGGCCATAATAAAATAAATTAATTTTAAAAATGAGGGGGAAAGACGGAGAAGGAGAGGAGGGGACAGAGAAACATTGATGTGAGAGAGACACGGTGACCTGGTTACCTCCTGCACTGGTGAGACATGAACCCACAAACTAGACTTGTAAGCTTGACCATGAGGTGAGCCTTTGACCCCTTCTTCCAGGGACAAGGCTCTAACACTAAACAGCATGGGCCAGGGTGATTTTTCTTAATTTTTATTTAAAAAAGAGAGAGGGGGCCAAAACCGGTTTGGCTCAGTGGACAGAGCGTTGGCCTATGGGCTGAAGGGTCCCAGGTTCAATTCCAGTCGAGAGCATGCACCTTGATTGCAGGCACATCTCCAATAGGGAGTGTGCAAGAGGCAGCTGATGGATGTTTCTCTCTCATCGATGTTTCTAACTCTCCCTCTCTCTTCCTCTCTGCAAAAAATCAATAAAATATATATTTTTTTTTAATTAGAGGAATGGAGAGAAAGTGAGATGATGAAATTTCAATTTATTGTTCCATTTATTTATGCATTCTTTTATTCCTCTTAAATGTGCCCTGACTATAGATCAAACCTACAATCTTGGATTATTAGCTGACACTCTAACCCACATGTGTCAAACACAAGGCCCGCGGGCCAAATCCGTCCCGCCAGGCCTTGCAATGTGGCCCGCACCGCGCTGTCATCACTGCACTCTGCTGCGTTTCCATCACAATGACAGTTTATGACTGTTCAGTAAACCATTCGGCCCGCGATTTAGGCTGGATTTTAGATTTTGGCCCCTTCTCTGATTGAGTTCAACACCCCTACTAACCAATTGAGCTTCCCGTCCCAGGCCTCTACATCTAATATTTTGTGAGGTTTTATGAAAGAATTCTGAATTATTTTAAATGTGTTTCTGCATCTATTGTGATGATCATAAGATTTCCCCCCCTCGTTCTGTTAATGTGGTAAAGCACATTTATTGATTTTGTTTATGATGAACCATTCTTGCACTCACGGGATAAATCCCATGTAATTACAATTTATGATTTTTTAAATATGCTGTTGAATTTGTTTGCTATTAATTTGTTGAGGGTTTGTTGTTCTTTTATATCTATATTTATTAGGAATGTTAGTCTGTTACAGTCTTTTCTTGTAATGTCATTATCTTTTAAAAATTCCATCTCTATATCTATATATGTGTGCATGTATGTATGTATGTATGTATAGATAGATAACATATCTTTTATAAATATTTTTATTGATTTCTGAGAGTGAATGGGAAAGGGAAAGAGGGATAGAGGCATCAGTGATGAGAGAGAATAGGTCAGCTGCCTCCTGCATACCCTTCTGGGGATCAAGCCTGCAACCCAGGCACATGCCCTTGACCTGAATCGAACCTGGGACCCTTTAGTCCACAGGCCAGTGCTCTTATCTACAGACCCAACCAGCTATGGCAGTGGGATGTTTTTATTCTTTGCCTTTTGTGTATCTACTATTGCATTTTGCTTTGTGATTGCAGAGGCTTATATAAAATCTTAAAATTAAAACTTTCTAAGCTACCAACTTCAACTGCAAAACAGTTGTTAATCCTTACCTGAGGATGTTATTTTCCATTGAATTTTAGAGAGATTGGAAAGGTTGGGGAAAGACAGAAACATCCATGTGAGAGACACATCGATTGGTTTTCTTTTTTTAAAATATATTTTATTGATTTTCCACAGAGAGGAAGGGAGAGGGACAGAGCTAGAAACATCAATAAGAGAGAAACATCGATCAGCTGCCTCCTGCACACCCCCCACTGGGGATGTGCCCACAACCTAGGTCCATGCCCTTAACCAGAATGGAACCTGGGACCCTTCAGTCTACTGGCTGACGCTCTGTCCACTGAGCCAAACCGGTTTAGGCAAATTTTTATTTTTTAAATTACTTTTAGAGAGAGAGAAGGGGAGGAGTGAGAGAGAGAAGCATTGATATGAGAGAGAAATTGGTTTGTTGCCTCTTGTATGCACCCTGACTGGGGAGCTAACCCACAACATAGGTATGTGCCCTAACTGAGAATCAAACCCAGTACCTTCCTGTGATTGGGACTCCAGCCAACTCAGCTATCTCAGCCAGGGCAATTGTATGTCCCTTCCTCTTTCCCTCCCACCTACCCTCCCTCCCTCCCTCTCTTTTTTTCTTTCTTTTTTTTGTAGGTTGCTGGGCTTGTGTAAATTATTTATTTTAAAATCCTTTTCTGACCATACACAGATGTGTATTTCTTTGGAGTGATTATTAAATTTGTGTTCCTTTGGTTGGTGGGGTGTCATGTTTCCTTGATTTTTTTTTTTAAACTGTTTTGTTTCATTGTTTGGTTTTTGCTTTGTTTTGGGGGGTTTTTTATTTGTAGCCTTGTGTGATGCCTGTACATTTCAGAGGGTGGATTACTTTGACTTTCTGGAAAGGTTTCAGTGGGAAGAGCTTCACCTTGGGAAGGTGTCACTGTGCTGACTTGGCTGGTCTTGCAGTTCTGACTACAAGGCCGAACCCAAACCGCCTACTCCCGGTAGCTGTGTTTCCTGGAGTCAGTGTTAGTGACATCGCAGGTGTCCTCCATAGCTAAGGCTTTCTGTGCTCACATCAGTGAAGAAGATTGCTGTAGACGTGCTGATTCTGTTCTCCAAAGGGAACAACTGTTTTTGGCCCAGTTGTTCCCTTTAGATGTCGAGTGCAGGGTGTCCTCATGGTGGTGATGGAATTTGTATCTGATTTTAAAACCCCCAGTGGCGTTCACTTTGCTGTGTGAGATGCAGTCACACCCTGATCAGTGATTGAACCTGTGAGCAGAGCACAGCTACACACACAAGGAGCTAATATCTGAGGAGTCAGCCATCCATATTGCCCATGGCTTTGGTGCCTGAGAAGCAGGCATTCGTGTGACAGCAATGGGGTCAGGTTATCTAATGTTGGCATTTCAGGGACAGTTGTGGCTCTGGGGTTGGGTGGGGTGTGCGGTGTGGCCACTGTAGAGCAGTCAGCTGGGATCCATGCCTGTGGTCACTCAGCCAGCTCTGCTGTGCGGGCTGTCCAGGGTCTTTCTGGAAAAGGTTTCTCCTCCTCCACAGAGGAGGACGTTGGCACGGGATGGCATTTACCCTTTGGCTGATACACATGGCTCCCGCCTTTCTTTCTTTTTCTTCTCCAGGTGTCTTCACTACGCTGGTGTTCCCAGTGATTTTTTTGTGTCTTTGTTCTCCTTTAAGCTGGTTTCCTCTACCACATTGCTGACATTCCTCACCTAGATGTGCTTTCTGGGTACATTGTGTGCTCAGTTACTCTGCAACAGACCTCTCCATTCACGTGTTCTTTCCTTCTGTCACCCATGTTGTATGTAGTTGCCCTGCTAGGACTTTCGGGGAAGAGTCCTCTCTGCATGTATCACAGGATGGTCTCTGTCTAGCCATGGCCAAGCGGGTTCACAGGGGTGTGGTCCTAGTGACTGGCAGTTGTAAAAATTGTGTTGTCAGGACGTTGTTCAGGTCATACCACAAACCTGTCTTTGCTCACCAGAGGGTTTGTGTCATTGCCAGTAGCCAAACCCATTTCTCCAGCTTTGAAACTTACCGTGTCTGCTGTGGTTTCTAGCCCACGGATATTCCCCCTCCCTCGACTCCCATCCCACCTGCCCTCTGACCACTCTTTCCTCAGTGCTCTTCAACAGTGCGTGTCCTCACAGATTATGCTGTGAGATGTTGAAAATTTCTGTATTGACCTCAGATAGCAGCTAATACATTACATTTGGATGGTAATGAGTTTACACGTATGCTTCTACATCAACAGCAGCAAAGGATATGCAGGAATCGGGTGGCATAGAAAGTGCATTGTGTGCTGTGCCTCTCTTTGTTGTGTCAGACCCATACATATCCTTCCCCTGGTTGTGTCTTCATCAATTTCTTACCTTAGAAGCCTAGTAGCACAAAGTAGTCAGCCATTCCTTCCAACGGAATTTCCTTCTTTTGCAAAGTGTTTCATATATAGATGTGTTTCTCCCTTCCTTTTAGTCAACATGTAATTCAAAAGCTTTTCTTTGCGTTCAGGTTGCTGCTGTGGAGCGGACGACGCGGAAGCACACGGGGAACAGAGGGTTTCTGAGGGCGTGTCGCAGGGGAAGAGTCCCAAGGCAGCCTCGTCTTCCCAGGAGAGACACCCCTGTGGGCGCTGCGGGCCGGTCCTGAGGGACGTTTTCCGCCTGGTCGAGCAGCAGGGGACGCAGCACAGCCAGAAGCTGCTGCGGTGCGGGGCGTGCGCAAAGCGGTTTTATTTCCGTGTAAACTGTCACCCGCCTGAGGAGCAGCCCGTGGGAGAGGAACCCTTCGGAAGTAGTGCCGACACGGCCTCATTCACAAAAAGCTGCAGCATCCACATGTCAGAGAAGACCTTTACCTCTGAGCAGGGTGAGGGGGACTCCCTGCCCAGCTTGGGACAGCAGCAGCAGCAGCAGCAGCTGACTCAGAAAGCAAAGGAGCCGAAGGAGGGTTTCCAGTGGGAGGCACCTTCACAAAGCAGAGCAAGTCCTGACCCTCCAGGGAAATGCAAAAAGGCCTTTAACCCCAAACGCCTGCTTGTTCCGGACCAGGATGTCGATACTGCAAGAAAATGTTTTGTGTGCAGTGAGTGTGGAAAAATATTCAGGTACAAGTCCCCATTTGTTACTCATTGCAGACTCCACACTGGAAAAAGTACTTATGTGTGTGGCAAAAGTGGAAAAACCTTTAGTGGAAGTTCAACCCTCAGGCAACATCGAAAAATTCATGTAGGTCCAAGGAGGTACAAATGCAGCAAATGTGGGAAATCTTTAAGCCACAAAACTGTCCTCATTAATACCCAAGAACAACACAACGGGGAAGACAGTTATGTGTGCAGCAGATGTACAGAGCTTTTTAGTCTCTGTGCAGTGTCCATTGAATACCCGAAAGTTCATTTGCAAGAAAAACCTTATAAGTGTCAGGACTGTGAAAAATCGTTTACCTCTGTCGCTGCCCTCAGTTATCATCAGAGCTCTCACACTGGAGAAAGACCTTATGGGTGCAGTGATTGTGGGAAATCTTTTATCTCTAGGTCTGATCTCCGTTATCATCAGAGAGTTCACACTGGAGAAAGGCCTCATGCGTGCAATCAATGTGGGAAATCTTTTATCACTCGTACAGCTCTTCGTTATCATCAGCGTGTTCACACTGGAGAAAGGCCATTTGAATGTAGTGAATGTGGGAAGTCCTTTACCCGAAGAAATAACCTCCTTATACACCTGAGAGTTCATTCAGGGTACAGGCCTTATGAGTGTGGTGAATGTGGGAAATCTTTTACCTTTAGTTCGAGCCTCCGCTGTCATCACAGAGTTCACACTGGAGAAAGGCCGTATGACTGCAGTGAGTGTGGGAAATCTTTTAACAATAGGTGGACACTTGTTAGACACCTGAGGATTCACACAGGAGAAAAGCCTTATATATGCAGCAAATGTGGCAAATCTTTTACTTGTAGTTCCACGCTTCAGTATCATGAGCGAGGCCACCTTGGGAAAAGGCCTTATGAGTGCACTGAATGTGAGAGATCTTTTACTACTAGCTCTGCCCTCCGTTATCATCAGAGTGTTCACACAGGAGAAAGGCCTTATGAGTGCAATGAATGTGGGAAATCTTTTATCTCCAGATCTGACTTCCAGTATCATCAGAAAACTCACTCAGGGGAAAGGCCTTATGAGTGTAATGAATGTGGAAAATCCTTTATTCGAAAAAATAACCTCATTTTACACCAGAGAGTACACACAGGAGAAAGACCTTATGAGTGTAGTGAATGTGGGAAATCTTTTAACAATAAGTCGACACTCATTCAACATCGGAGAGTTCACACAGGAGAAAAACCTTATGTGTGCACTGAATGTGGAAAATCCTTTACTTCTAGCTCCACCCTCTCCTATCATCTGAGAACTCATGCGGGAAAAAGGCCTTATGAATGCAGCGAATGTGGCAAATCCTTTACATCTAGTTCCACCCTCAATTACCATCAGAGAGTTCACACAGGAGAAAGGCCTTATAAATGCAATCAATGTGGAAAATCTTTTACTTTTAGCTCGAGCCTCCGTTATCATCACAGAGTACATACCGGGGAAAGGCCGTATGAGTGCAGTGAGTGTGGAAAAACTTTTAAGGATAGATCACAATTCACTAAACATCAGAGAGGTCACACTGGAGAGAGACCTTATGAGTGTAATGAATGTGGGAAATCTTTTAGCCACAAATCTTCCCTCTCAATACACCAGAAAATTCATAATAGAGAAAGGTCTTACAAGTGTAGTGAGTGTGGGAAATCTTTTACCTCTACCTCTGGTCTTGGTTATCATCGGAGACTTCACAGGGGAGAAAGGCCATACCAGTGCATTGAATGTGGGAAATCTTTTACCAGCAGCTCGATACTAGTTCGACACCAGAGAGTTCACACTGGTGAAAGGCCTTATGAGTGTAGGGAATGTGGGAAAACTTTTGCCAGTAGTGACACACTGTCTTATCATCAGAGAGTTCACACAGGAAAAAAGCCTTACAAATGCAGTCAATGTGGAAAATCTTTTGCCTCCGGTTCCACCCTTCGTTACCATCAGAGAGTTCACACAGGAGAAAGGCCCTATGAGTGCAGTGAATGTGGGAAATCTTTTATCTGTAGTTCCAAACTTCGTTATCATCTTCGAGTTCACACTGGTGAAAGGCCTTACGAATGCAGTGAATGTGGAAAACTGTTTAGGGATAGTTCCCAATTCAGTCAACACCGGAGAGGTCACACTGGAGAAAGGCCTTACGCATGCAATGAATGTGGGAAACTTTTTATACGGAAATCTACGCTCTTGCAACATCAGAGAGTTCACATAAGGGAAAGTCCTTAGAAGTGCTAGAGAAATCAATTTTCAGTTCAGTGTAAAAGCCCTGGAGGAAATTCCTTCAGAACTCATTTGTCTGAATTGAGACTCGCATCTGAGTATGTACAGTGGATAGATTCCCATAAGTTTCATTTAAGAGAAGCGTGTGTAAATACGTTATACTTTCTGATTGGCCGGGACTCTTCCTAGATTTATGAGGCTAAAGTTATTTAATTTTCCCACTGGAATGTGCTTAAGACTTTTTGCAACAGTCATGGCCTAATGTGTTCTGGGAAGCTGACCTCTGGTTTCATATATTGTAGCAGTCTAGGAATAACCAAACCCTCAGTAGTCAGCTTTCCCTTAATGACTAATTTAGACATGGATTTCAGTCAGTATCCCAACTTCTGCTTCAAGCTTACAGAGAAATGACTACCAGTTCCAGGGATGTGTTGGTCTCACATGATACTTGTGATGAAATTTACCAGCTTGCAGTTCCTGAACTTACTGCTTTGCCTTGTAAAACAATTGAGGCCTTATTTTTTCTTTGTTAATCTTCATCTGAGGGTATTTTTTCTGTTAGATTTTAGAGAAAGTGGAAGGGGAGAGGCAGAAGAGACAGAAACATCACTGTGAGAGAGAGATTGGATGGGTTGACTCTCACACATATTACAACTAAGGGCCAGGGACCAAACCCGCAACCCAGGTACGTAACTTTGATAAGGATAACCTAAGGTAATTCAGAATGTGGGAAATGCTCTAAAAATTGAGTCAGAACTGCCAGGGCCAAAAGACATCTTGAATATGGCAAACCAAAACCAGAGTGTTATGCTCTCCTCTTCATGTATAAAATATACTTTGGGTAAACATAAAGTTAGGAAAACTTAGACATGATTTTTATTGAAGTGCTAACATCCTGATAAAGTTTTATAGAGTGCAGACATGTCTGAACAGCTCATAAAATAATTGATTTCGCCCATAATTATCAACCAATTACTTCACATGTATTCAATGACAGCTAGCAGAGTAGACAAAATTCCAGTGGGTAAAAATGTTACTGGATGAAAAACCTTTTAACAGTTGAACTCACTATGCAAAGTTCACAACACAAAAATGACACTGGTCCTTCATATCATCTGTGCCTAAAGCAATCAGAAGCCTCAGTTCTGTGCAGCGGTGTGGCTAGAATCAAGGATTGGATCTAATGCCTTTGACTCCACTTGGTATTCACTGCAAACAAAGGAGAACAAGTTAAAGACATCAGAGGTGTGCCATACACGTATTCCGGGAAGACAGTAAGTATCTGATTCCAGAACAGCTGTAATAAAGACAGTCACATGTTTAGTGGTTCACCGTGCACATAAAAATTATGTTTACACGCCGAAACCGATTTGGCTCAATGGATAGAGCGTCGGTCTGCGGACTGAAAGGTCCCAGGTTTGATTCTAGTCAAGGGCATGTACGTAAAAAATCTCTGTAAAAAATCAATAAAATATATTTTTAAACAATATGTTAACAGTACATCACTATAGTCCATGAACTGTGCGATTTCATTATGTTTCAAACAATTTTAACAAACTTGTGTTGCCCAAGCCCGTGTGGTGCAGTGGTTTAAGCATTGGTCTATGTACCAGAAAGGTAGCAGGTTTGATTCCAGGTCAAGGACAGATATCTGGGATACAGGTCCATCTTCAGTCCCATTGAGGCCCCTTGGGCAAGCAATCCCTGTGTCTCATACTGATGGTCCTCTCTTTTATTCCCTCCCCCAACCCTCCACTCTAAAAACCAATGCAAAAAATACCCTCTGGAGAGGATATTTAAAAATACATATTTTTTATTTATTTATTTTTTTTTACAGAGAGGTAGGGAGAGGGATAGAGAGTTAGAAACATTGATTCAGCTGCCTCCTGCACACTCCCCAATATAGATGCACCTGCAACCAAGTTACATGCCCTTGACTAGAATCGAACCTGGGACCCCTCAGTCTGTAGGCCGGCACTATACACCGAGCCAAACCTATCGGCATGGGGTTTTTATTATGAGAAATACTAAAGCAGTGTATGACAGGAGTAGAAAAATGTCAAAACATTTCCCAGAAATTATAAAAATCTTACTCCATTGGGGGTCTATTCACAGCCCTGGTCACTTGCTCCCAGCAATGATGGAGCTCATGCAATTCAACAAAAGGAAGACAATCCAATTAAAAAATTGGGCAAAGGACTTAGACATTTATCCCAAGATGACCAATATCCTTTATAATAGAAGGCTATTGTGCAAATAGACTGATAAAATAACATTGTATTGACGTACACTGACTACCAGGGAGCGCATTCCAAACATGGCAGGTGTCTGCTGCTATGGGATGGTGTAGCAAGTGAGCGTTGCACCAAACCAAGATGGGGCACTGGTCACTTGTCAGGGTGAGCCTCTTAGTTACTGATAATTGCTCCTGCGTGTCATGGTCCCCTTGTACCCACTGCTGGCTCCCAGCACAGGTCCCAATCAGTGCTGTCAGGGTGCAAGTGGTGGCTGATGGCCCTGATCACCCCTGAGGGATTCTCCATCTTCCCCTCCTCCTAAAGGGCAATCCGGCCCAGTAGCTGCTGCTCGCAGGCAGGGCCTGCACCACAGGTGGGTGTGAGAGGTGGCAGCAGGAGGGTCTGGGCCTGGGCACGAGGGTGGGCTGAGACCTGGCCCTGTGTCACTGCAGCCTCATGGCCCACAGTTTCTTTCTGGTGCACAGATTCACGCACTGGGCTCCTCGTATATCCATGAAAAAGTGGTCCAGGCAGCTGTAATGAAGTATCACCTCACATCTACTAGACTGGCTGCTTTGTACAAATCAGCAGAATAAGTGCTGGTGAGGAGGCAGGGAGGAGGGAACTTGGTGCACTGCTGTGGGGTTGCACACGGTGCAGTTACTTGAAAATAGGATGGCGTTTCTTTAAAAAAACAAAAACCTGCTGATTGACACAGCAGTTCCATATTTGGGAATGCTTCCTAAGGATCCTGAAACAAGAAAAAAATATGCCCTGAACAGTTTGGCTCAGTGGATAGAGCGTTGGCCTGCGGACTGAAGGGTCCCAGGTTCAATTCCGGTCCAAGGGCATGTACCTTGGTTTCGGGCACATCCCCTGTAGGGGGTGTGCAAGAAGCAGCTGATCAATGTTTCTAGCTCTCTATCCCTCCCCCTTCCTCTCTGTAAAAAATCAATAAAATATATTTTTAAAAAAGGAAATATTTGCAGTTGTGTTTATGACATTATTTACAATAAAGATCCAGAAACATCCAAAGTGTCCACCAGCAGAGGACTGGGTAAAAAAGCTGTGATGTATTTACACAATACAATACTATGGGGCCGGGGGGGGGGGGGGGGGGGAATCTCTTACCAGCATAGATAGACCTAGAGGTTATGGTGCTAAGTGAAATAAAGAAGTGCCACATGATCTTGCTTATATGTGGGATCTGATAAACAGGAAACGTGTTCTGATGCATGGGGAGTTTGACAGATCTTAGAATAAGGGTGGGGGTAGAGGTGGGGCAGGGTGGAGGGTCTGCAGGGGTGTATGGGAGACATCTGTCAACAATAACAAGTAAATTTAAAATATTAAAAGTCTCCAGCACACTGCTTCTGGCACTGCGATTATAGGCCTGGTCTGACACTGCAGATAAGAACATTTTTAAGTTTTTCTTGTCTAGGACACATCTCCCAATGGAATAAAATCTCTCCCTTGCTGAAACCGGTTTGGCTCAGTGGATAGAGCGTCGGCCTGCGGACTGAAAGGTCCCAGGTTAGATCCCGGTCAAGGTTGTACCTTGGTTGCAGGCACATCCCCAGTAGGGGGTGTGCAAGAGGAAGCTGATGATTAGCTCTCTCATCGATGTTTCTAACTCAATCCCTCTTCCTCTCTGTAAAAAATCAATTAAAAAATATTAAAAAAAAAAAACACACAAAGAAAGGATTTAAAGTATATATATATATATACTTTAAATATATATATATATATATATATATATATATATATATATATATATATATATATAATCTCCCTTAAATGTGAACTCTCCAATTCCTCAGGATCCCATACTTGTTCTTCCTGGGTGCTACTGTTTTTATAGTTCCACACCTGTCTCCCTTAATTTACTATAACTTGAGATACTTCCTTTTAATTTATTGGCTGCTTAATTTAGAAGCCTGCCTGAGAACACCCTTCCATAGTCACTGAGGTATAAAGAAATTGAGGATCTGAAGCAGAAATAATTAGTAAGGTCCCCCTCCGGCAACCTTCACTCTTAAGCTTGGCCCATCTCCAGAGAGAACCACTGATACCAGCATCACGTTGTCCTGTGAATTCCTGTGAAGCGAGCCTCACCCCCGTTTCTGCATGACTGGGACCACGACTCCTTGGGCCTTCTCCGTTGTGTCACCTCAAAACCCACACAGTGAGCTGAGCCAGGGTGCTCAGTGGATAGAGCCTTGGCCCATGGACTGAAGGATCCCAGGTTAGATTCCGTTGAGGGCACGTGCCCAGATTGCAGGTTTGATCCCCACTGGGAGCTGTGCAGGAGGCAGCTGATCAATGGTTCTTTCATCACTGATGTTTCTCTCCATCTCCCTTCCTGTCTGAAATCAATAAAAATATAAATTAAAAACCAACACCCTCCCAAAACCCAAACGCAACCATCAGATGTCTGGACCCAAGAAGGAGGAAGCCAGAAGTCCCGCCCTAACGCTTTCATCTTGATCTGTCATTGGCTTAACTCCGCGCAACGTCTTCTGGGTAATGTAGTTCCCAGCGCTCCATTCTGAGTTCCTGGGATGCTTGTCCCTGGATGGATCCTGTAAAGTGATGCTGTTCCCTGCAGGAAAGCGCTTGCTCTTGGTTAACTACAGACAAAAAGACTCCGTTCTGACCTATCTACCCGGAGATGGGCTGCGGGTTCAGGACCACAAGACTGTGCACGCCCCTCCCCAAAAATGTCAGTTGCAAGTCTAGTTGTTATCGGTGCTTCAGAAAGACGACTCTTGAATATCACCCTTCAATTGTCCTAGATGGGTTGCTTTCCATTTCTGAATCCCTTAAAGACAATTAGATATTCAAATGTACTCCACTGAATTTTTTTAATTCATTTTAGAGAGGGGGGAGAGAGAGAAGCATCAATGATTGATTTTAGAGAGAGAGGAGTAGAAACATCGCTGACACAGAAACACTCTTCCCTACCACTTCCTGGGGATCCAGCTGAGCCCGGGGCAGGCACCCTGACCAGAATGGAACTGGGGGTCTCTGGAACTGGGGAACCTCACTCAGCCAACTGGGCTGCACGGTCAGACCACCACAGGCTGATTTTAAAAACATGCATGTTTTTTATTCACTTCAGGGAGAGGGAGAGGGGGAGAAGCATCAGTGATGACGGAGGATCATGGACCCGCTGCCTGCTGCAAGGCTCCCTTCTGGGCATGGAGCCCGCAACCCGACCAGGTGCCCTGACCAGGAATTGAACCTTGACCTCCTAACACAAGGGTCCAAGGTCAATGCTGAGTCACACCAGCTGGGCACAACAGCTACCTTTTAAATAGAAAACCACTGCCGAAACCGGTTTGGCTCAGCTGTAGAGCGTCGGTCTGCAGACTGAAAGGTCCTGGGTTCGATTCCGGTAAAGGGCATGTACATTGATTGCGGGCACATCCCTGGTAGGGGGTGTGCAAGAGGCAGCTGGTCGATGTTTCTCTCTCATCGACGTTTCTAGCTCTCTCCCTTCCTCTAAGAAAATCAATAAAATAAATTTAAAAATAAATAGAAAACCACTGCCGAAACCGGTTTGGCTCAGCTGTAGAGCGTTGGTCTGCGGACTGAAAAGTCCTGGGTTTGATTCTGGTCAGGGGCATGTACATTGGTTGCGGGCACATCCCCAGTAGGGGGTGTGCAAGAGACAGCTGGTCGATGTTTCCCTCTCATCGACGTTTCTAGCTCTCTATCTCTCTCCCTTCCTCTCTGTAAAAAAAACAATAAAATATATTTAAAATAAAAATAAAAATAAAATAGAAAACCACAGGTACCAAATGGCATACCTATTTTTTTTTTCGAGTATAATTTGCTTTTCTTTTTAAAAAATATATTTTATTGATTTACAGAGAGGAAGGAAGAGGGATAGAGAGTCAGAAACATCGATGAGAGAGAAACATCCATCAGCTGCCTCCTGCACACCCCCAACTGGGGATGTGCCCGCAACCAAGGTACACGCCCTTGATCGGAATCGAAGCCAGGACCCTTTGTCTGCAGGCTGATGCTCTATCTACTGAGCACACCGATTAGGGCCAACCTGCAATTCTTGAGTTGTAAAGGGATTGAGAGCACAGAGGTAATAAGTCTGGATTAGTCCTTCCTGCCTAAAATATCTGAATGAATTCACTGAAGGTATCAAAAACATACACTATAGCCCTAACCGGTGTGGCTCAGTGGATAGAATGTCGGCCTGCAAACTGAAGGGTCCCGGGTTCAGTTCTGGTCAAGGGCATGTGCCTGGGTTGCAGGCTGGATCCCCAGTGTGGGGTGTTCAGGAGGCAGCCAATCAATGGTTCTCTCTCGTTTCTTTCGCTCTCCTTTCCTCTCTAAAATAAATCAAGAAATATTTTTTAAAAACAAAAATATGAAGAAATGGAACCACAAATTGATGTCTCTCTCTTTCACTCTCTCTAAAGTCAATAAGTAAAAATTTCACTGTAGCTGGTCCCTCGGTTGGTTGAGTGCCATCCCCTTATGCCAAGGTGGTGGGTGTGACCTCCGGTCAGGGCACACACAGGCACCGCCCAAGGAACCATCTGTGAGAAGCCCTGGCTGAGTGGTTCAGCTGGTGGAGTATCCTCCTGAACACCAAATGTTTGCGAGTTCGATTCCCAGTCGGGGCACAGAGGGAAGTCAACAAAACACTATTCCTCTATCCCTTCCCGCCTCCAAATATCAGTAAACATATCCTGGGGAGAGGATTAAAAAAACAAAGTTTAACAACAAATCAATGTTTCTTTCTCTCCCTTTCTCTAAAAATGAATAATTAAAAATACATAAATAAGAATTTTCAAAATACTATATATCCCAGGAAGCCATCCTCAGGTTAAATTAACTGACTAGAACCTTTGGTGGCAAACCTCCACCAGGTGGCGACTTTTCCTCAGACACCAGGTGGAGACTTGACCAGTTCAGGAAGAAAAAAACTCAGGCCATAACCGGTTTGGTTCAGTGGGTAGAGTGTCAGTCTGCGGACTGAAGGGTCCTGGGTTCGATTCCGGCAAGGGCACATGCTGAGTTGCGTGTTGGATCCCCAGTATGGGTTGTGCAGGAGGCAGCTGACCAATTATTCTCTCTCATCGGTCTCTCTCTCTCTCTGTGTAAAAAGTCAATATTTAAAATAATAATTTAAAAAAAGGCCCTTGCCAAAACTGGTTTGGCTCAGTGGATAGAGCGTTGGTCTGCGGAATGAAAGGTCCCGGGTTCGATTACAGTCAAGAGCATGTACCTTGGTTGTGTACATCAAGGTACCAGCTGCCTCCTGCACAGCTGGGGACTGAAGGGTCCCAGGTTCGATTCCAATCAAGTCCCCTTCAGTTTAAAGGGGACTTTAAACTGAATATTAATACCTTTTCTTTGAAGGTCAACTCTTTGGTATAGTTTATAAAAATGAAAATTATTTAAATGCTTGTTTTTTAAACCCAGTAGGGGGTGTGCAGGAAGCAGCTGGTCGATGATTCTCTCTCATTGATGTTTCTATCTCTGTCTCTCTCTCTTCCTCTCTGTAAAAGATCAATACAATATTAAAAAAAAAAAAAAAAAAAAAAAAAAAAAAAAAAAAAAAAAAAAAAAAAAGAGCTCACAGTCTTGCCAAAAGCAGTTTAGCTCAGTGGATAGAGCGTCAGCCTATGGACTGGAAGGTCCCAGGTTCGATTCCAGGCAAGGGCATGTACCTTGGTTGTGGACACTAGGGGGTGTGCAGAAGGCCACTGATCAATGTTTCTCTCTCATTGATGTTTCTCATCGATGTTTCTAGCTCTCTATCCCTCTCCCTTCCTCTCTGTGAAAAATCAATAAAATATATATAATTTAAATATTAGCTTCTGGATGCTACTGGGGCTAAGACTGTTGTTTGTTTTAAAATATATTTTAATTAATTTTTTACAGAGAGAAAGGGAGAGGGATAGAGTCAGAAACATCGATGAGAGACTTAGATCAGCTGCCTCCTGCACACCCCCCAACAGAGATGTGCCCGCATCCAAGGTACATGCCCTTGATTGGAATCGAACCTGGGACCCTTCAGTCCACAGGCCGACGCTCTATCCACTGAGGCAAACCGGTTTTGGTGACATTTATGCTCTGAAAGCTCTCACGTTGTTAAAGAAAATGTGTACCTTAAGCATAAAAGGGGAAACACCTTGAATTTTTTCTTGATAGACTTAAAGGGGGCTTTAAACTGAATATTAATACCTTTTCTTTGAAGGTCAACTCTTTGGTATAGTTTATAAAAATGAAAATTATTTAAATGCTTGTTTTTTAAACCCCTAGTTTTTAAGTTCTAAAAGAGTATTCAGTGAGTTAATTTTATAATGTTTAACAATATTGTATTTTTTGGGGGAGGAGGAATATTTTATTTAAATAGAAGATGGCACTGGAGATAGTTTTAAAATACTTTTCATGGTTAGTATTATAAAAAAATTAAAACCTAAAGGTGATTTGTCTAGTTCCTCAATATTTAGAAAACTACGTGCTCTTGCTACTTAATATAATCATTTCATTATTTCATTATTAGCTATTATACATGATTAATAAGTTTTTTTGTTTAAAGTTATTTTCTGGTCCTAAAATAAAAACCAGAAATAGAGGGGGTGGGGCAATGGTAAGATATGTACACAGATAATAATTTAATTTTTTTTTTAAAAAGAATAAAAACACAACAAAAAAATCTGCATTCAGCCCTGGGCAGGGTAGAAAGTATAACGTAAGTCGTACGTTTCCCACTGAAGTAAAATTATGGAGGACTCTCCCTGCTGTTTACTGTTGAGGACAGAATTTATGGGATAAAAGTCAGACAACAGAAGCTCAGTGTTAACACATCCTACACATCTCACGTGCCCAGAGGCTAGAATTTTGGCTAATAGATGAACCACATTCATATTACTCAAAAAGCATTTCTGCTGTGTGTTCTCTGATGTACATGAAGATGAGTGATCGTCATAGAAGATTTCCCACAATCAGTGCACTCACAAGCTCCTTCTCCAGTGTGAATTTTTTATGACAATGGAGTCCAAAGCCATAGGTCAGACTTTTCCCACCATCATTGCGCTAATGGCCTTTCCTCAGTGTGAAGTTTCTGATGACGACGAAGACCAGCCTTTCTGGTAAAACATTTCCCACACTCCCTGCACTCAGAGGGCCTTTCCCCAGTGTGAACTCTCTGATGCCTGAGAAAGTGGGACGTTCTGGTAAAAGACTTCCCACATTCGCTGCAGGTGCAAATCCCTTCTCCTGTGTGTAGTCTCTGATGGTAACGAAGACCATAGGCGGTGGTAAAAGGTCTCCCACACTCACCGCATTCATAAGGCTTTTCTCCAGAATGAACCTGACGGTGTTTAAGGAGCATACGACGATACTGAAAGCATTTCCCACACTCACTGCACTCATATGGCTCTTTGTGAGTGTGTCCTCTCTGATGGCGGTGCAGACTATAGAGAGTGGTAAACGATTTCCCACATTCGCCACACTCGGGCTTCTCTCTCGTGTGGACTTTCTGATGAAAACGAAGTCTATACTTACAGGGAAAGGATTTCCCACAATCCCCACACTCATAGGGCTTTTCTCCAGCGTGAAGTCGCTGGTGCACACGGAGAGGGTACTTTTGGGTAAAGGATTTCCCACACTCACCACACTCATAAAGCTTTGCACCAGTGTGAACTCGCCGGTGGTAACTGAGGGCGGAACTAGACACCAAGGACTTCCCATATTCATTATGCCCTGCTCCCAGGTGAGTTCTTACATGACAGAAGAGGCCGGAGCTAAAGGGAAAGGATTTCCCACACTGAGTGCACACGTAAGGTTTTTCTCCTGTGTGAACTCTCTGGTGTCTAATGAGGACCGACTTCTGGTTAAAAGATTTCCCACACTCACTGCACTCATACGGCCTTTCTCCCGTGTGTAGTCTGTGATGATGACGGAGGCTCGAGCTATATGCAAAAGGTTTTCCACACTGAGTGCACACGTAAGGTTTTTCTCCTGAGTGAATTCCCTGGTGTTTAATGAGTGTCCACTTATCGTTAAAAGTTTTCCCACACTCACTGCACTCATACGGCCTTTCCCCGGTATGTACTCTGTGATGATACCGGAGGCTCGAGCTAAAAGTAAAAGATTTCCCACACTGATTGCATTTATAAGGCCTTTCTCCTGTGTGAACTCTCTGATGGTAACTGAGGGAGGAACTAGATGTAAAGGATTTGCCACATTCGCTGCATTCATAAGGCCTTTTTCCCGCGTGAGTTCTCAGATGATAGGAGAAGCTGGAGCTAGAAGTAAAGGATTTTCCACATTCGGAGCACACATAAGGTTTTTCTCCTGTATGTACTCTCTGGTGTAAAAGGAGGTGATATGTTTTAATAAAAGATTTCCCACATTCATTACACTTACAAGGCCTTTCTCCTGAGTGAGTTTTCTGATGACTCTTGAATGCAGATACAGAGATAAAAGAATTCCCACATTCACTGCACTCATAAGGCCTTTCTCCTGTGTGGATTCTTTGGTGTTTCACAAGTGTCCACCTATCCTTAAAGGAGTTCCCACACTCACTGCAGTTATAAGGCCTTTCTCCAGTGTGAATTCTATGATGACAGCGGAGGCTGGAGCGGGTAGTAAAAGACTGCCCACATTCGCCACACTTATAAGGCTTGTACCCTGAATGACTTACAAGGTGTCTAAGGAGGTGGCTTCTCTGGGGAAAGGACTTGCCACACTCACTGCACTCGTGTGGCTTTTCTCCAGTGTGAATTTTCTGATGGTAACGGAGGGCGGTCCTAGAGATGTAAGATTTCCCACAATCACTGCACCCATAAGGTCTTTCTCCTGTGTGAGAGCGCTGATGATAACGAAGCGAAGTGACAGAGGTAAACGATTTTGCACAGTCCTTACACTTATAAGGTTTCTCTCGCATTTGAACGTTCGGGTATTCAACGGACACTGAACGATGACTGAACAGTTGTGTACACGTGCTGCACACATAACTGTCTTCCCCGTTGTGTTGTTCCTGGGTATTAAAGAGGACAGTTTTGTGGCTTAAGGATTTTCCACATTTGCTGCACTTGTACTGCCTTGGACATGCAGAAATTTTTCGATGCTGACTGAGGGCTGAGCTTCTACTAAAGGTTTTTCCAACTTTGCCACACACATAAGTACTTTTTCCAGTGTAGATTCTGCAGTGCCTAACTAATGAGGATCTGTGCCTGAATATTTTTCCACACTCACTGCACACAAAACACTGTCCTGCAGGATCGACATCCTGGTACGGAACAAGCAGGCGTTTGGGGTTAAAGGCCTTTTTGCATTTCCCTGGAGGGTCAGGACTTGCTCTGCTTTGTGAAGGTGCCTCCCACTGGGTGCCCTCCTTTGGCTCCTTGGATTTCTGAGTCAGCTGCTGCTGCTGCTGCTGCTGCTGCTGCTGTCCCAAGCTGGGCAGGAAGTCCCTCTCACCCTGCTCAGAGGTAAAGGTCTTCCCGGAAATGTGGATGCTGCAGCTTTTTGTGAATATGGCCATTTCGGCACTACTTCCAAAGGGTTCCTCTTCCATGGGCTGCTCCTCAGGGGGGTGACAGTTTACACGGAAATAAAACCGCTTTGCGCACGCCCCGCACTGCAGCAGCTTCTGGCCGTGCTGCGTCCCCTGCTGCTCGACCAGGCGGAAAACGTCCCTCAGGACCGGCCCGCAGCGCCCACAGGGGTGTCTCTCCTGGGAAGACGAGGCTGCCTTGGGACTCTTCCCCTGCGACACGCCCTCAGAAACCCTCTGTTCCCCGTGTGCTTCCGCGTCGTCCGCTCCACAGCAGCAACCTGAACGCAAGGAAAAGCTTTTGAATTACATGTTGACTAAAGGGAAGGGAGAAACACATCTATATATGAAACACTTTGCAAAGGAAGGAAATTCCGTTGGAAGGAATGGCTGACTACTTTGTGCTACTAGGCTTGTAAGGTCAGAAATTGGTGAAGACACAACCAGGGGAAGGATATGGATGGGTCTGACAAAAAAAAAGAGAGGCACAGCACACAATGCATTTTCTGTGCCACCCGATTCCTGCATATCCTTTGCTGCTGTTGACGCAAAGCTGGGCAGAAGTATGCATGTAAGCCCATTACCATTCAAATATATTAGCTGCCGTCCGAGGTCAATACAGAAATTTTCAACATCGCACGGCACAATCTGTGAGGGCACTGTTGAAGAGCACTGAGGGAAGAGTGGTCAGAGGGCAGGTGGGATGGGAGTCGAGGGAGGGGGAATATCCATGGGTTAGAAACCACGGCAGACACGGTAAGGGCCAAAGCTGGAAGAGGTGGAGAAATGGGTTTGGCTACTGGCAATGACACAAACCCTGTGGTGAGCAAAGACAGGTTTGTGGTATGACCTGAACAACGTCCTGACAACACAATTTTTACAACAGCCGGTCCCTAGGACCACACCCCTGTGAACCCGCTTGGCCATGGCTAGACAGAGACCATCCTGTGATACATGCAGAGAGGACTCTTCCCCGAAAGTCCTAACAGGGCAACTACAATACATACAACATGGGCGACATCCTGCCTCGGCGATGCCTGCCATCTTCCACGCTCTGCCACCTGCCCCCAACACCTGCTATGTTCGACGTGCACCCCCTGGTGGTCAGCGCATGTCATAGTGACTGGTTGTTTGGTTGTTCCTTTGTTCCCCTGTTCGATCTTTGTATATTACTGTTTTATATATAGATTCTATCTATCTATCTACATCTATCTATCCATCCATCCATCCATGCATCCTATATAATAAAAGAAAAACATGTAAATTGGCCATACTTCCACAATGCCCACCAATGAGAAGTATGCAAAATTTTTTTTAAACATTTTATTTTTTTATATTTTATTGATTTTTCACAGAGAGAAAGGAGAGGGATAGAGAGTTAGAAACATGGATCAGCTGCCTCCTGCACACTCCCCACCGGGGATGTGCCCGCAACCCAGGTACAGGCCCCCGACCGAATCGAACCCGGGGCCTGTCAGTCCGCAGGCCGATGCTTTCTGCAGTAGTATGCAAATTAACCCAAGGAAGACGGAGGGTTAATTCGCATACACAGGGGCCAGGTGGAGAGCAGAGCGGGAGAGCTGGCGGCTTGGAGTGTGTGAAAAGTATGTGTAAAGGCTGTCTCCTAAGAAAGAGCTAAAATATACAGGGTGTTCATCCAACTGAACAGCAACAAACAATCCAATTAGGAAATGGCCAGCCCTGGGTGGTGTGGCTCAGTGGTTAGAGTGCCAGCCCTAGCAGGGGGGTCTGGGGGAGGATATTCAGGAAAACCAGGCTAGGTGAGATGTCACATCAATGTTCCGCTCTCTCCCAATGTTTTCTCTCCTCCACCCGTCTACTCCCTCTGAAAAACAATGGGAAAATATCCTTTTTCCCAAATGAGGGTTAACAAAACAAAAAATGGGTACTGAGTTCCTTTACAATAGGGGTGTCGAACTCAATCAGAGAAGGGGCCAAAATCTAAAATCCAGCCTAAATCGCGGGCCGAATCGTTTACTGAACAGTCATAAACTGTCATTGTGATGGAAACGCAGCGGAGTGCAGTGATGACAGCGCGGTGCGGGCCACATTGCAAGACCTGGCGGGACGGATTTGGCCCGCGGGCCTTGTGTTTGACACGTGTGCTTTACAAGATGAGAGAGTTCTAAGGATGTACTTAAGAGCATGGTGACTAGTTAGTAATCTACATTAATAAGAGAAACATGCAAATTAACCATCACTCTGCTACACCCACCAGCCAGTCAGGAACGAATATGCAAAATAACCCAACACAGAGCAAGCAGGCTAGGGTTTCCCTGGCAACAGAGGAAGCCAAGCTTTCTGCCGGCCCTGGCTTCCGCTCAAGGCTACAGTTTCAATTATAGAAGGTAAAGAAATCCCAGGTCCCAGGGCCTCCACTTGGGTTGCTGGGGGGCATGGCCGGCCAGCAAACCATCCCAGGCCCCTCGCCCAGGCCGCCCCACGTCCCAAGGGAATCCCTACCATGATCCAGGACACCCTTCAGGGAAAATCAGCCAGTCCTCACCCATGCTCCAGGCGACTATCCTATGTAATAAAGGAGTAATATGCAGATTGATCATCACTCCAACACACAAGGTGGCTGCCCCCATCTGGTCAAAGATCCTGGGCCCATGTGGACACAGAATGGCCACTACAAGATGGCCAGCAGGGGAGGGAAGTTGGGAGGGACCAGGCCTGCAAGGGAGGGCAGTTGGGAGGACCAGGCCTGCAAGGGAGAGCAGTTGGGAGTTGATCAAGCCTGCAGGGGAAGGCAGTTAGGGGTAATCAGGCCAGCAGAGGGAAGTTGAAAGCAACTGGGTCTGCAGGGAAGAACAGTTGGGAGAACCAGGACTGCAGGGGAGGGAAGTTAGGGGTGACCAGAGATGCAGGGGAGGGCAATTAGGGGCAAACAGGATGGCAGGGAAGCAGTTATGCATCAATCAGGCTGGCAGGGGAGTGGTTAGGGTGATCAGGATGGCAGGCAGGCGAGCAGTTGGGAGCCAGCAGTCCTGGATTGTGAGAGGGATGTTCAACTGCCTGGTAGAATCTAAACAGGCAGTCGGATATCCCTTGAAGGGTCCCAGATTGGAGAGGGGCTGGCTGGGCTGAGAGACACCCCTTCTCCCCCCTTCCACTCCCCGTGCAAGAATTTCATGCACCCGGCCTCTAGTGTTATATAATTGAAATGTATTGAGAGTAGATCTTAAGCATTCACAGCATAAAAATATCAGGCAACTTCATATGGAGATACATGTTTAATTACTATAACCATCATTTATATTGGGTCGGCAACTAAGTAAGTGCGGGTTCCACACATATATGGCTTCAGTTGAATTTTTAGGTTTGCAGACGTAGTACAAATGTAAAACACATTTTGTTATTTGATAGTTGGCTATTCAGCTGTTAATCAGTAAAAAAAGTTTTTTGATATGTTTTGTAGTTTTCGTTTGGCGTTCGTTGAAAAATGGAAAATCAAAAGGAACATTTTCGTCATATTTTGCTTTTTTATTTCCGCAAAGGGAAAAACGCATCGCAAGCTCATAAAAAGTTATGTGCTGTTTATGGTGACGAAGCCTTAAAAGAACGGCAGTGTCAAAATTGGTTTGCCAAATTTCGTTCTGGTGATTTTTCACTCAAAGATGAAAAACGCTCTGGTCGTCCAGTTGAAGTTGATGACGCCCTAATCAAAGCAATAATCAATTCGGACTGTCACAGTACAACACGTGAGATTGCAGAGAAGCTTCATGTATCACATACATGCATTGAAAATCACTTAAAACAACTTGGCTATGTTCAAAAACTCGATACATGGGTTCCTCACGAACTGAAAGAATCACAGTTAATGCAACGCATTAGCAGCTGCGATTTGCTAAAGAAACGTAATGAAAATGATCCATTTTTAAAACGACTGATAACTGGCGATGAAAAATGGGTTGTTTACAACAATATCAAGCGGAAAAGATCGTGGAGCAGGCCAGGTGAACCAACTCAAACAACATCAAAAGCTGATATTCATCAAAAGAAGGTTTTGTTATCAGTTTGGTGGGATTACAAAGGAATTGTCTACTTTGAACTCTTACCACCCAACCGAACGATCAATTCTGATGTCTACATTGAACAACTAACGAAATTAAACAATGCAGTTGAAGAAAAGCGGCCCGAATTGACAAATCGAAAAGGTGTTGTATTCCATCATGACAATGCAAGGCCACACACATCTTTGGTCACTCGGCAAAAATTAATGGAGCTTGGTTGGGATGTTTTGCCACATCCACCATATAGTCCTGACCTTGCACCATCTGATTACTTTTTGTTTCGATCTTTACAAAACTCCTTGAATGGTAAAAATTTCAATAATGATGATGATGTCAAATCGTACCTGATTCAGTTTTTTGCTAATAAAAACCAGAAGTTTTTTGAACGTGGGATTATGATGCTGCCCGAAAGATGGCAAAAGGTCATTGATCAAAATGGGCAATATATTACAGAATAAAGTTATTTAGTTCCATGAAAAAATTCTTTTATTTTCTTTAAAAAATCCGCAATTACTTAGCTGCCGACCCAATATTTTAAATATATTTTATTGATTTTTTTTATAGAGAGGAAGGGAAAGGGATAGAAGTTAGAAACATCGATGAGAGAGAAACATCCATCAGCTGCCTCCTGCACACCTCCTACCGGAAATATGCCTGCAACCAAGGTACCTGCCCTTGACCGGAATCGAACCTGGGACCTTTCAGTGCACAGCTGACGCTCTCTATCCACTGAACCAAACCGGTTTCAGCCCACTGTACACTTTAATACACACAAGTCTGTATTGCAACCAGGCTGGGAAACAGAAAAGGAAAACAGATCTAAACAGGACACGCTGTGCAGAAGAGCCTTGAAGAGGAGCCCGGCTTCAGATAAGCACGACCCAGACAGACCACACCTGTGAGTCCCGGCACAGGCGGCAGGAGGACTGACAGGGACGGGAAGGGACCACACCAGGAGACGGAGGGGGATGGGTCCGGACACATCAGCCCAGACACTGAGCATCCGTGAAGCTCGATGCAATGCGACTGGCTGACCTTGAATCCTGCCCAAAGGGCTCAGCACTGGGAGCGCAGGGGAGAGAAGAGGGCAGTGCAGACCCACAGGCCCAGCAGCACAGCAGCCACCCCGCACCCAGCCCCGCTGAAGTCCAGGCCCGCGGACTGAGAGAGCCGAGAGGGGGAGGGAGGAGAGTCCAGCCCGAGTCCCAGGTGAGGCCGTGAGTCTTACCCAGAGAGGACACGAGGGCAAAGTTCTCCAGCATCACACGCAGGTACAGGCGTCTCTGGGCCTCGTCCACCAGCCTCCATTCTTCCCGAGAGAAACGCACGGCCACGTCCTCCAAGGTCACCGCGGCCTGTGAGAACGGGGACAGAGGACACCGTGACCATTCTGTGCCCGAGAACCCGCAGCCACGCACTCGGGGGGCCGCCGCTGGACAGGCCTCTCCGCACCGCTGGCCCCGCGTCCCCATCCGCCCCGGGAGCTCCCGCAGCTCAGAGGCCCCGCCCCCTCCCCGCGCCCCGGGCCTGAGGGGCTCCCCGCCGGGCACAGGGACCCGGAAACGCCCCGCCCCTCCCAGCGCAACCACATTCCGGGGACCCCGATCGGGAAGGGAGGCGGGAGCTGGGCCCGCTGTCACCTCCTCCTCCGCCTCCTCCGCCCGCGGAGCCCCCGGTCCTCCTCCTCCCGGGGCCTCAGGCGCCCGTCCCACGGGCCGCCCTCCGAGGGTCACGTGACCGCCCGCCTCCCCTTCCCCTCGGGGCGCGGGCCGGCTTCCGCCCCGACCAGCCGCGCCGCCGCCATGACTGGCTTCCCGCCTGAGGGGGGCCACGGGGCCCGCCGGCAGGAGGGGACGGGGGCCCGCACCCCGGGCTGCGGGGCGGGGCGAGGAGGCGGGGACGCGCTCACCTCAGCCGGGCGCCTCGGCGCGGCCGCCGCCATCGGACCTGCGGGCGGGGCGGCGGGCGAGGAGAGACGCGGGACCCTCGCGGGGTCGCCGAGCCTCGCCCTCGCGTGTGGCAGCGGCGGGGACCGGGACTCCGTGTCGCCTCCTGCCTCCCGCCGCTGGAAAATCCACACACGGCGGCTCCAAGGCGGCAAAGACTCGGATGAGCAGCGAATGGGGCCCCGAGCAGGACGATGCCGGAAGTCGCGTCCCCATTGGCGGAAATGCTTTTGCCCTCATCCGCCACTTTCTCAACTGAGCGCACGGTCTTCTGGGTAATGTAGTTCCTAGCGCTCCAAAGGCCGCAAGGTGCTCTCTGGGGAGCAGCTAAGGATTTTTGCCCCTGGAGGCACCTTGTAAAGTCTTTTTTGTTTTTGTTTTGTTTTTAAATATATTTTTAAAAATACATTTTATTAATTTTTTTCAGAGAGGAAGGGAGAGGGAGAAAGAGCTAGAAACATTGATGAGAGAGAAATAATCCATCAGCTGCCTCCTGCACAGGCCCCACTGAGGATGTGTCCACCACCAAGGTACATGCCCTTGGCTGGAATCCAACCTGGGACCCTTCAGTCCACAGGCCGGCACTCTATCCACTGAGCCAAACCAGTCAGGGCACCCTGTACAGTCTTGAGGCTACTGAGAGGGCAGGGCTGGCTCCTGGTGAACTGCAGCAAACTCTCCATTCTGACCCCAAGGACCTGCAGATTGCTTCTGAGCTCAGCACCACAGTCTGTGCATGCCCCTCCCCTCAGATGTCAATTGCAACTCCACATGGTATTTGCGCTTCAGTACAACAGGCCATATATATAGATATATATTTCCTCTTTCAACATATTTTTTATTGATTTCAGAGGGAGGGAGAGAAGCATCCATGATGAGAGGATCATGGATCCGCTGCCTCCCGCGTGCCCCCAGAATGCAAATCGAGCCTGCAAGCTGGGCATGTGCCCTTAATCAGAATTGAACCATGGACCCTTCAGTCTGCGGGTTGATGCTCTATCCATTGAGCCAAACCGGCTAGGGCACAACAGACTATATATTTAATAAGTTTTTACTTATTTTAAATGTTTTTAAAATTGCTTTTAGAGAGAGGAGTGGGAGAGAAACACTGCACGCCCCCCCTGGGGAACTTGCTGGGCATGTGCCAGCAGCAGAATGGAACTGGGGAAGTCCTGCTGCAGAGTGGAGGGGGATCGCACAGACCCTGAGCCACACCAGCTGGGCACAGCAGGCTGCTTTTCAACAGGAATCCGGGGGCCCACGTGGCATCACTTATGTTGAAACCCAGGATCTCACCCAGTTTAGTGCCTGATGGAGTGCAGTTGCCCCTCTCCCAGAAACAGTCTTAATCTTCCTGAGTAAAATGTTCTGCTAAAGCAGCAGGAAGGACATGCATCTCACAAACCCTGTCCGTCCCCATAGAAAAAGAGGCAGCCTTATGACAGCAATTCTCCCAGGTCTTGTTCCCTATAGAAAAGGTGTCCTTTTTTCAAAAATACTGATTTTTTTTTTAATTTTGTAAATATATTTTTACTGATTTCAGGGAGGGAGAGGAACAGACAGAAACATTAGAAACATAAATGATGCAAGAGAATCATCGATCAGCCAACTCCTGACAGTGCCCCGATGGGGCTCCAGCCCACAACCCAGACTGGAATCAAAACTGGGACCCAAAGATACAAATAAGTTTTAAAAACAAGTAAATAAAAATAATAAATTTACAGTGAAGACTCCTGGCAGACACCACTTCAACCAACTGATTAAGGTTAACATCATTAGCGATACATATCAGTATTATGTATCCCCTCAAAAAAGGTTAAGGCTGTTAGTAATGCATATTGACATGTAACCCCTTAAAAGGAATACCACATCATTTCTGTGCTACTCTTTCCAAAAATGTATAACCTCATTCTACACATACAGAAACAACAGAAAAACCCAAAGCTAGAGATATTCTAAAAAATATCTAACCAATGCTCTTTGAAAGGGTCAAGGTCACAGAAGATATGAAAGACTGTGGAACTATCACCGAGAGAGGGCAACTTAATGAAATGCGGGATCCTGCACTGGATTCTGGAACAGAAATAGGACATTAGTAGAAAAACTGATGAAATCCAAATAAATTCTATAGCTTAGTTAAAAAAAACAAAACTGGGACCATCCCTCCCCAACTCCCCAGCCCACAGGCCGACGCTAGCCACTTTGCCAAACCAGGTAGGGCAACATGCTCTGATTTTCAGTTTAGCTAATTTGCTCCTGTGAAACGTTTTACATAAGACCCGTCCTGCCCTAAATCAGTGGTTGGCAAACTCATTCGTCAACAGAGCCAAATATCAACAGTACGACGATTGAAATTTCTTTTGAGAGCCACATTTTTTAAACTTATATAGGTAGGTATATTGTTATTAACTTAATTAGGGTACTCCTAAGCTGGCCTTTGCTAAAAACTCTAGGGGCCAAAGAGCTGCATGAGGCTCGAGCTGCAGTTTGCCGACCATTTTCCTATTATAAGTGAGGGTGATGGCCTGATACCAGGCATTGTTGTAACTTCTTAGTCCCCATCTTTATCGTTTCTACCAACAAAAATGTTCCATATTTTTACAACTCTGAATATACCCTTCAATTTGCTACTGGGGTGCTGCCCATTTATCAATCACTTAAAGCCAATCAGATCTTCAAATTTACTCCATTGAGCCCTGACTGGTTTGGCTCAGTTGGATAGACCTTAGGCCTGCATACTGAAGGGTCCCAAGTTGGATTCCTGTCAGAGAGGAAGGGTGAGGGAGAGAGATATAGAAACAAGGGCCTATGTCTGGGTTGCATGCTGGATTCCCAGTAGGGGGCATGCAGGAGGCGGCCAAGCAATGATTCTCTCTCAATCTCTCACCATTGATGTTACACTCTCTCTCTTCCTCACTGAAATTATATATAATTTTAAAAAGCATCTACACCTCAACCCCAGGGTCCCAGGGTGGATCCCCAGTCAAGGGCACCTACCTGGATTGTAGGTTCCTCAGCCCTCCAGGTCGGTCCTCTGCTGCAGACAGCCAATGGTTGTTTTTCTTTCTCCCTCACTACCTCCGCCCCCCTCCCCACCCCCCGCCCCTTCCAATCTCTCTAGAGATCAATAGGGAAAAATATTCTTGGATGAGAAAAAAAAAATCTTGAAAATAGCTAAAGTCGTCATCTTTTCTCTGGTGATGGGTCGTGTGCATGCTGATAAAAATGCATAATCTCGCCTAGTCAGTTTGCTCAGGGGGTAGAGCCAAACATCTCAGATGTTTGTCTCTCCCTGTAAAAATCAACGGGAAAATAGCCCGAAGTGAGCATTAACAACAACAAAAAATATTACCTGTCAGGATACACACAGTGAGTATTAATAAAGGGAAGTAGGTATGCCTACATTCCAGGGTGTGCAAAATTTTACTGGTCAAATGACGTACTTACTGCATCACATATATGACAAACATAACACAAGAATGTTGGACACACTTCTTTTTTTAAAATATATTTTATTGATATATATTTTTTATTTTATTTTTTTTACAGAGAGGAAGAGGAAGGATAGTTAGAAACATTGATGAGAGAGAAAAATTGATCAGCTGCCTCTTGCACACCACCAAGGTACATGCCCTTGACCAGAATTGAACCTGGGACCCTTCAGTCCACAGGACGATGCTCTATCCATTGGAACAAACCGGTTAGGGATTGGACACATGTCTGAAATAAAAAAATACTAAGATGCATAATATACATATTGGAGGTTGACTAATTAGTTGTACATGTCAATTTAAAAAATAGTTATTTGAATAGGTGGGAGGATTCAATTCTAACCAAACTTTTCCCTCAGGTTCACCTGCCAAATTTTCAGTTTTTTTCAATATTTAAAAAATTGTTTTTATTGATTTCAGAGAGGGAGAGGGAGAAAGAAACATCAATAATGAGAGAAAACCATTGATCGGCTGCCTCCTGCACACCTCACATTGGGAACCGAGCCTACAACCCTGGCATGTGCCCTTGACGCTCTATACACTGAGCCAAACCAACTAGGGCCACACTTTAAAAAATAAAATAAAATAAAATAAAATAAAATAAAAAATATATATATGATATATATTCTATATTTTATTGATTTTTTACAGAGAGGAAGGGAGAGACAGAGAGCTAGAAACATCAATGAGAGAGAAACATCGACCAGCTGCCTCTTGCACACACCCCACCGGGGATGTGCCCGCAACCAATGTACATGCCCTTGACCAGAATCGAACCCAGGACCCTTCAGTCCACAGACCGACGCTCTACCACTGAGCCAAACCGGCTTCGGCAAAAAATACATATTTTTTGATTGATTTCTGAGAGGAAAGGAGAAGGGAGAAATAGAAACACCAACGATGAGAATCATTGATTTGCTGCCTCTTGCACACACCTCACTGGGGATTGAGCCAGCAACCTGGGCATGTGCCCTGACGGGGAATGACATGAGAATTCTCTTACAACACATATGTATTACAATTAGCAGCAAATCATGGGTATGCACATATGCAAAATAAAATAACCATCAAATTCTCTCATTATTGATGTTTCTCTCTCCCTCTCTGAAATCAATTTAAAAAATATTTAAAACAACCACCATCAATAGTGATCCTGTAACGAGACTTCTATTTGAAAATTGAAAATGATTTGTTTCTCAGAGTGCAGTAGGTGCAGAGGTTTTTGTCTCAAGCCATCTTTCAATGTCCGATCTGGCGGAGGTCTTTAGAGTGTGGAGAAAAAGTGGCCAAATGCTAACCTGACTAGCTCCGGTAAGGCCTGCTGGGGCCTTGCAAATTCAGAGACCTAAAACAGCCACAAAGGATGGTCTACAATTAACTTTTTAACCGGAAGCAGTGCCGGGTTGTGGGTTCAATCCCCAGTAAAGGGAGGTGGGGGGGCACACACGTGTATGAGGCAGCAAAATGGGTGATTCCGTCATCATTGATGTTTCTCTCTCCCTCCCTTCCTCTCAGTAAAATCATTTTTCTAAAGCATTTGATGGTGGGTACTCATATCCTAGGCCAGCATCTTCCCTGACAAAGGTCAACCTTTTCCCCGAGCCTGTCTGCTGCCTTTTTGCATCTACAATAACATATCTTGGAATGCCAATGTAATTTCCCTTTTCTCCCGAGTCCTCAAAGCACAGGCACCACTGCAAGACCACAAACCCCTTCACTGTTAATTGCTGACTGTTCACTATCCCGTACCCGGCTACGTAAAAAAATGTCTATCGTTTTACATTTTGGCCAACAGGATCCGCCCTTCCGGTTCCCTCAATTTGCTTTCTCCAGTCCCCCTAATCTATTAGCAGTGGACTTCATGTAAGCAATATACATATGTCTCCTCTTTTTAAAAGAAATATTTTTATTGATTTCAGAGGGGAAGGCAGAGAGAAAGACTTTCTCTCACAGATGAGAGAGAATAATTGATTGGCTGCCTCCTGCACACCCCCTTTGGGGATCCAGCAGCCAGACATGTGCCCTTGTCTGGAATCCAACCCAGGACCCTTCAGTAAAGCTCTATCCACTGAGCAAAACTGGCTAGGGTTCACTGTTCTTTTAAAAAAACATAGGTAACAAATACATACATGAGAAAATAGCCAAATTTGATAGTTAGATTGAACACATGATCATACATTTTACCCAGAATACAGAAATATAGCAAATACACATTGAAAAAAATGTCCATAAATCTGTTGGGAAATGCAATCAAATGACAGTGAGGATCACATCAAAGATATAAAAAGGGTTGAAATGATTGACCAAACCAAATATTCTCTACGATATAGAGGAACTGACTCCTTCATATACTGCTGGAAGAATGCAAAAAGTATAATTAGTTTATACCACAATTTGCTAATACTGTTAAGTTAAATATTCATTTAGTCTAGGACTCAAGACTATTCACTGAATTATTGACATAACTAAACAAAACATATCTATATAATGATACATTTTTGCTTGTACCAGCTTTACTTTCTTATTTTTAGAAATCTATTTTATAGAGACAGACAGTAATAGACAGAAACATATATTTGTTTTTCCAATGTTTATGCATTCATTGGTTGATTCCCAATGTGCCCTGAACCTGCAACCTTGACATATCGGGAGAATGTTCTAACAAACTGAGCTACCCAGCCAGGGCACAGGTTTATTTTCAATAGTCAAAAATTAGAAATAACCCAACGTGCATGTACAAAATGAGTAAACTAATGGTTTATATATTTGAAGGTAATATGTTCATAGATAATATTTCTCTGGAAAAAAAATGATGAGGTACTAATGCATCACTAAATACATCTTCAACTATTTATGCAACAGAACTAAAGGCAGAAAATCCACTTTTATTGCCATCATATAAATTCTATGAAATGCAAAGTCAGCTATTAAAATGAAAAGTAAATGAATGGCAAGGAGAGATTATAAAAGGATATGAAGTAAATAGTAACACATACGGTTAGTATTATGACTGATGATGGTTTCAGTTTAATACATGTCAAAACTGATCAGATACTATACTTAAAATGTTATTTACCACATGTATATTATACCATACTAATAAGGATTTTTTTAAATGCCTCAAGATTAAAAAAAAAATCATCTTCAACTCTTGAAAAATAGCTTGCAACTCTATATTCAATCCACGTTCTCATACCCTCTTGGGGTCAGTATTGCTTAGTGACAAGTATATCAAACAATGGGCTTTCATTGAAATCAACAGGAATGCTGGCTGGCTAACAATGTCATATCCCTGGAATATGACCCCTTTTCTTTTTTCTTTTAAATATATCTTATTGACCCTTTACAGAGAGGAAGAGAGAGGGATATAGAGTTAGAAACATCGGTGAGAGAGAATCATCGATCTGCTGCCTCTTGCACACCCCCCAATGGGGATGTGCCTGCAACCAACGTACATGCCCCTGACCGGAATCGAACCTGGGACCTCTCAGTCTGCAGGCTGACACTCTATCCACTGAGCCAAACCAGTTTTGGCATGACCCCTTTTCTTCATCTTTGATTTCCTGCCTGGCCGCCAGTGATCTTGAGATGAACTCTATATAATTTGACTATAGAAATTCACACACATACACACAGACACAAATTTTTAAGTGTTGACATTTTATTTTATTTCTTAAATATTTTTAGCCGAAACCGGTTTGGCGCAGTAGATAGAGCATCGGCCTGCGGACTGAAAGGTCCTGGGTTCGATTTCAGTCAAGGACACGTACATTGGTTGCAGGCACATCCCCAGTAGGGGGTGTGCAGGAGGCAGCTGATCAATGTTTCTCTCTCATTGATGTTTCTAAATCTCTATCCCTCTCTCTTCCTCTCTGTAAAAAGTCAATAAAATATATTTTAAAAATATTTTTATTGATTTCACAGAGGAGGAGGGAAAGATAGAAGCATCAATGATTAGAGAATCATTGATGGGTTACCTTCAGCATGCCCTGCACTGGGGATCAAGCTTGCAACCTGGGCAGGTTTCCTGAGCGAGAATCAAACCATGACCTCCTGGGTCATAGATTGATGCTCAATCACTGAGCCATGCCAGCCGGGCCATTTCTTGAAAAAGATTGCAATAGAAACATCAATGATAATAATCAACCCTCGCCTGTTTGGCGCAGTGGGTAGAGCGTCACCCTGCGGACCAACGGTTCCTGGGTTCAATTCTGCATATAGCTTGGTTGAAGGCTCCTTCCTGATGGCCATGGCCTATGCAGAAGGCAAACAGATTTGTTTTTCTCGCATTGATATTTCTCTGTCTTTCCCACTCTCTAAAAAAGATCAATGGTGCCCTAGCTGGCTTGGCTCAGCGGATACAGCATCGGCCTGCTGACCGAAGGGTCCCAGGTTCGATTCCGGCCAAGGGCACATGCCTGGGTTGCAGGCTTGATCCCCAGTGGGAGGTGTGCAGGAGGCAGCCAATTGATGATTCTCTCTCATCATTTTTTAAAAATATATTTTACTGATTTTTTACAAAGAGGAAGAGAGAGGGATGGAGCGTGAGACACATCGATGAGAGAGAATCTTTGATCAGCTGCCTCTTGCACAACCCCTACTGGGGATGCGCCTGCAACCAAGGTACATGCCCTTGACCGGAATTGAACCTGGGACCTTTCAGTCCGCAGGCTGACGCTCTATCCACTGAGCTAAACCGGTTTCGGCAATTATCTCTCATCATTGATGTTTCTCTCTCCTTCTTCCTTTCTCTCTGAAATCAGTCAATACACACACACATACCCACACACACACCCACAAATGGAAAAATATCCTTGGGTGAGAACAAAATAATAAAAAATTAAAATGATGAGAATTATTGATTGGCTGCCTCCTGCACACTCCCTACTGGGGATTGAGCTCACAAGCCAGGCATGTGCCTTGACCAGGAAACAAATTGTGACCTCCTGGTTCATAGGTCGATGCTCAACCACTGAGCAACACTGGCTAGGACTAAAAATCTTTTATCATAAGTCACAGAAGGTAAACATGCCTGGAGACCCTCAGACTTGTGTCAACACTGATATATTCTTTTTCGCAGAAACAATTTTGGATGCACATTTAGGAGGCACATTTAGTTGGATGCAGTCTTCAACAAAACCAATTAGGCTAGTGATTCCGTAGCAAGCACAGCTTTCCTCTAACCGCTACATCCCACAGCCAGTTACCATCAACCACATAATTGTGGACATAAGGGCACATGGCTCTTTATAAGAACTTGGAAGATAATTCCCTTCAAAAGTACTGGCATACCTTGTGAACAAGGTACAAATTAATGCTGCTCCCAGAAGCACTTGAGGTTGCAACCCGTGACCCTCTTTAGGGTGATTTCTGAGGCTCCTAAAGTTCATAGCATTTAAGCTTCACATGACCAGAAAGCCCTGCAATCTTTCCTCAAAAGATGTGAACAGTAATGCAGATTTGGTAAAACCTGGTGAGCTAGTTTCTGTGCTCAGGCCATCCCCTGTAATACAGAGAAATTTTGAGGCCCCTCACATAAAAAGTTTTTTGAAGAACCCAAATTTGCTTATAAATTATGCCACACATTAACTAATATCCCCAGGATCGAAGAGTACTTAAAAAAAGGTAAGACACCCATTATTTTACAAACCCAAGGAACACGAACCTGGTACTTCTTGCAATGGTGACTTGGAAATTGGGAATATTTGTCACAGGTATCCAGGGAAGCCAGGCCCCTGAGGAAGTCCTTCTCGGGCTGCCAGATGACATTTTCCGGGTTATCACTGTGTCAGGTCCATTCCCCAACTGTTCAGAATGAACAGAATGCAGATCCCCTAAGAGCTCAGGCTATTCCTAATTTCCTCCAACAAACCAAGAAACAGAGTAAGCTGCCCTGAGCACATTAGTATGGTGACTGATGCAAACTGTGGGAATCTTCTAGAAGTTATAGGTGAAACATCTCTGACCAGAGGCCTCTGTAGTGACGAAAATCTGGCAAGAGATGTGTGTAGATCAGAAAGTGCAACGTAGACACACGTGCTTCCCACATAACTAACACTTACAGGGAACCTCCCTACTGTTGATGTCTTATGCCCGAGATTAAATTCAGGCAAACGGAACCTCAGAGTTTCCTACAGTGTTATTAATACTGAAAACAAAAAACGCAAGCAAACAAACAAAACCACCTTAGAAGGCCTATACATCTAAGGCCTTCCTTCACTGTGAACTCTCGAGTGCTGAGCGAGGTTAGATTTTCGGGTAAAAAATTTGCCACATTCAATGCACTCAAAAGGCCGTTCTCCCGTGTGAACTCTGTGATGATACTGGAGGGTGGAGCGGGAAGTAAAAGATTTCCCACACTCGCTGCACTCGTAAGGCCTTTCTCCTGTGTGAGCTCTCTGGTGAATAGTGAGGTGAATTCTTTGGGTAAAGGACCTCCCACATTGATTGCACTCGTGGGGCTTTTCTCCCGTGTGAAGTCTGCGGTGTCGAATGAGTATGGAGCTGTTTGTGAAAGACTTATCACATTCACTGCACTGGTAAGGCCTTTCTCCTGTGTGGACTCTCTGATGATATCCGAGGGCAGAGACAGAAGTAAAAGCCTTCTTACATTCACTACACTCATAAGGCCTTTCTCCAGTGTGAATTCTCCTGTGTTTAGAGAGGTACGAATTCTGGCTAAAGGTTCTCCCACAATCAGTACATTCGTAAGGTTTTTCTCCAGTGTGAACCCTCTGGTGTTGATTCAACTGGGAACTATCCCTAAAAGATTTCCCACATTCATTGCAGTCAAAAGGCCTTTCTCCTGTGTGAACTCTCCGATGACAACGGAGGGCAGAGTTAGAGATAAACGATTTCTCACATTCACTGCACTCATAAGGCTTTTCTCCAACATGAACTTTCTGATGATAACGAAGGGAGGAGCCAGAGGTAAAGCATTTTCCACATTCACGACACTCGTAAGGCCTTTCTCCTGTGTGAACTCTCTGGTGTATATTGAGATGATTTCTTTGGGTGAAAGATTTCCCACATTCACTGCATTCGTAAGGCCTTTCTCCGGTGTGAACTCTGCGGTGTCGAATGAGTATTGGTCCATTGGTAAACGTTTTCCCACAATCACTGCACTCATAGGGTTTTTCTCCAGAGTGAACTCTCTGATGATAACAGAGGGCAGAGCCAGAGGTGAAAGATTTCCCACATTCACTACATTCAAAAGGCTTTTCTCCAGTGTGAACTCTCTGGTGTTGGGACAGGTAAGATTTGTGGCTAAAAGATTTCCCACATTCACTGCACTCATAAGGCCTTTCCCCTGTGTGGATTCTTCGGTGTATAATGAGGTGGTTTACTTGAGTAAAACATTTCCCACAATGACTACACTCGAATGGTCGTTCTCCTGTATGAACTCTCTGATGATAACGGAGGCCAGAACTAGAGGTAAAAAACTTCCCACATTCATTGCATTTATAAGGCTTTTCTCCACTGTGAACTCTCTGATGATAGCGGAGGGCAGAACAAGACGTAAAAGCTTTCCCACATTCACTACACTCGAAAGGCCTTTCTCCTGTATGACATCTCCCATGTTCAATGAGGTCAGTTTTCCGTTTAAAGAATTTCCCGCATTCGGCGCACTCAAAACTCGTTTCCCCAGAACAAACTGTCTGTTGCTGTGGACTGAGAGCAGAGCTTTGCCTAAAAGATGGCGCACATTCACAACAGACGAAGCAACTTTCTCCAGTGTGGCTTCTCTGAGGGTAAATGAGGACAAATTTTTGGTTAAAAGACTTCCCACATTTGCCACACTTGAGCTGCCTCGCGGCTGCATGAATTCTTCGGTGCTGAGTGAAGGCTGAGCTTCCCCTAAAGGATTTCCCACAGTCATCACATACAAAAACACTGTCATCGTGGAGTTTCTGGTGAATAACAACTGAGGATTTGTACCTGAATCTTTTCCCGCACTCACGGCACGCAAAACCCTGCTTTTTACTGTTGGCTCCCGAGTCCTGCACGTGCGTGTGCTTAGAACTGAAGGCTTTCTCGCGCTCTTCCCTAGTGCTGTTCCTTTTTCTGTGCTGAGAAGTCCCCTTACGTTTGGAGCTTTTGTTCGGCTTCGCTGTGGTGTGAGTGGCCTGTTGTAGATGACCTGAGGCGGCCGGGCAGTTCTTCCCAACCCCCTCACGGGTGGAGGGCTTCTGTGACTTCCTGAAATCGCAGCTCTTTGCAAACGAGGGTCTATCCGCAGTGCTCACCAAGAGTGCCTCTCCCCGGAGCTGCTCCTGGTCATGCCGACAGTTTGCACTGAAAGAAAATTGTTTTCCACACGCCCCACAGCTCAGTCTGTGTAGTGTTTCCTGGTGCTCAGTCAAATGAAAGATATCAGCCAAGACTGGACCACACATCTCACAGGGGTGGATCTTCTGGGAAGACTGAGATTCTCTTGAAGTCCTGGCCTGGGATACTCCCACAGGAATGCTCTGTTCACATGGATCCTCCACATTCTTTGTTCCACAACAGCAGCCTAAGTGCAAAGAAATGATGGTAAGTTACACACTGACTTTATTGGCAAGGGGCAACCCAACCGCCAATGTGTGAATCTTCAACAAAAAAAGAACAGGGATAACTATGATTACGTCAGACAGCATGACTTTAAGTATGGTAAAAAACTGTCACAAGTGACAAAGAACTTCTTTATATAATGATCAAGCAGCTAAGTCAGCAAGAAAATATAACTGTTTTAAGTACAAATGTACCCAGTATCAGAACACCTAACTATATTTAGGAAGTAATGATCTGAAGAAAGGAATAGACAGCAAGGCAATAATAGTTGATGACTTCAATACTCCACTTTCAACAATGGATAGATCACCCAGACACATATATCAGTAAAAGAATATTGAACCTGAACTTTTCTTAAGAGCAAATGGCCCTGGACCTGGTCAGAGAGCTCATTTGGTTACAGCGTGGTCCTGATATGCCAAGGTTGCAGGTTCAATACCTGCTCAGGGTACATGCAAGAATCAACCAATGGCCGAAACCAGTTTGGTTCAGTGGATGGAGCGTCGGCCTGCGGACGGAAAGGTCCCAGGTTCAATTCTGGTCAAGGGCATGTACCTTGGTTGCAGGCACATCAGAGGCAGCTGATCGATGTTTCTCTCACATCGATGTTTCTAACTTTCTATCCCTCTCTCTTCCTCTCTGTAAAAATCAATATGTTAAGCCAAGACCGGTTTGGCTCAATGGATAGAGCGTTGGCTTGGAGACTGAAAGGTCCCGGGTTCGATTCCGGTCAAGGGCATGTACCTTGGTTGCGGGCATATCCCCAGTAGGGGGTGTGCAAGAGGCAGCTGATCTATGTCTATCTCTCATCGATGTTTCTAACTATCTCTCACTCTTCCTCTCTGTGCAAAATCAATAAAATATATTTAAAAAAAAAAAAAAAATCAATATGTTAAAAAAAAAAAAAAAAGAAAAGAATAAACCAATGAATTTATGCATAAGTGGGACAAAAAAAAATCAATATTTCTCCCTCTCTCCCTCTGCCCCTTCTAAAATCAATAAATAAAAAATTTTAAAATAACAGATATATCCAGAACATTCAGCAGTGTATACATTCTGCTCAAGTGCAAAATAAACATATAATGTAACAAATCACGTTAGGTTACAAAACAAGTCTTAACATGTTAAGTGCCCAGTCAGTCATCGGTGACTGACACTATACTTTCCGTCTGGAAGACAAAAAGCTTAAAGTGTTAACAAACTTAAGAAGGCTGAAATTATATCAAATATCTTTTCCAAACAAAATGGCATGAAACTGGAAATCAGGAGAGAAAGCAAGCTAGAAAATAACAATTATGTAAAATTTAAGCAACAAACTCCTGAAAAATCAATGGGTCAAAGATATAAAAAATACATAGACAAATGAACATGGAAACATAACACACCAAAATACAACAAAAGCAGCAGAGGGAAGGTTACAGTAATAAATGCCTACCTTAATAAAAGAATGATCTCAAACAAACTCCCTTTATATATATATATATATTTTTAATATATTTTATTGATTTTTCACAGAGAGGAAGGGAGAGGGATAGACAGCTAGAAACATCGATGAGAGAGATACATCGACCAACTGCCTCCTGCACACCCCCCACAGGGGATGTGCCCACAACCAAGGTACAAGCCCTTGACTGGAATCGAACCCGGGACCTTTCAGTCCACAGACCAACGCTCTATCCACTGAGCCAAACCAGTTTCGGCTCCCTTTATATTTTAAGGTATAAGAAAAAACAACAGGCAACCTAAGAAACAGGAAAAAACATTTGCAAAAGATGTATCTAATAAGGGGTTCAAGCTCTGACCGGTATGGCTGGGCTGGTTGGAGTGTCACCCCATGCACCAAAAGGTCAGGTTTAATCCCCAGGCAGGGCACACACCTGGGCTGCAGGCTCAATCCCCTGCCCCAGGTGGATGTGAGAGGCAACCCCATCCGTTTCTCTCTCTCTCCCTCTCTCTCTCTCTCTCTCTCTCTCTCTCTCTCTCTCTCTCTCCCTCCCTCCCTCCCTCCCTCCCTCCCTCCCTCCCTCCCTTCCCCTCTCTCTCTAAAGAAATGAATTAATGAATCTGTCCCTGTCCTCAGGTAAGGGGAAAAAAAAAAATCCAGAATGTATATATAAAAAACTCACACAATTCAACAAAAGAATAATTCAATTAAAAATGGCAAAGGATGTGTACAGACATTTATTCAAAGACATACAAATGGCGAAGAGATACTATAAAGATGCAAATTCAAATCACAATGAGATACTACCTCACAGCTGTTAGGATGGCTACTAACAAAACAAGTTAACCAGGATGTGAAGAAAAGGAAACCTTTGTACACTGTAGGACTGCACCTCAATTCAGCCACTAAAACCAACTATAGGAAAGTTCCTCAAAACATTCAAAATAGAACTACCATATGGTCCAACAATCCCACTTCTATTACCTTTATCCAAAAGAAACAAAAGTCAGTATCTCAAAGAGATATTTGCAGACCTATGTTTACTGCAGCATTATTCATAATAGCCATAGTAAGAAATTACCTAAAGAACCTGTCTACAATTGAATGGATAAAGAAAGTCTGATACACACACACACACACACACACACACACACACACACAAAATGGGGTATTATTCAGCCATAAAAAGAAAATCATGCATTTGTAACAACATCAATGAACCTGAAGGGCATAATGTAAAGTGAAATAAGCCAGACAGACAAAGACAGATATTGTATAATATCACTTATATGTGGAATCTTAAAAAAAGGGTTGAATAAAAAAACAAAACACAAAAAGAATGCCAGAGACTAGGGGTTAAGGGAAATGGGGAGATATTGGTGAGTTACAAAATTAAGTTCTGAGACTCTAATGTAAAACATGGTGATTATAGTTAATAATGCTGTATTGCATACTTGAAATTTGCTAAGAGTGCACATGAAAAAGGTAAGTACAATAGTCTGCTCCAATCAAGAGTGATGCGTTCCAAGAAGCCATGAGTACCAGCCCCCTATATAAGGTAATGGATTCATTAATTTGACTGCACTAATCATTTCACAATGTATATGTACAATTAATTATGTTATACATTTTAAATATATACAATCATATTTGTCAATTATACCTCAATAAAAGCCAGAAAAAATATCTAAATAGTACAAATAGTACAGGGCAGTCTTTTTAATTATTTATTTATTTATTTTTAAAATATATTTTTATTGATATTTTACAGAGAGAAGGAAGGGAGAGAGAAGGATAGAGAGCTAGAAACATCTATGAGAGCGAAACATCAACCAGCTGCCTCTTGCATACCCCCCACCGGGGATGTGCCCGCAACCAATGTACATGCCCTTGACCAGAGTCGAACCTGGGACCTTTCAGTCCACAGACCGACGCTCTACCACTGAGCCAAACCAGTTTCGGCCAGGGGAGTCTTTTTAAAAATATAATATTTTATTGATTTTTACAGAGAGGAAGGGAAAGGGAGAGAGTTAGAAACATTGATGAGAAAGAAACGTCAATCAGCTGCCTCCTACACACCGGCACTGGGGATGTGGCCACAACCAAGGTACGTGCCCTTGACCGGAATCGAACCTGAGACCCTTGAGTCCGCAGTCTGACGCTCTATCCACTGAGCCAAACAGGGCAGTCTTAAAAAATAACCCATACTAGCTGGTTTGGCTCAGTGGACAGAGCACTGGCCTGCAGAATGAAGGATCCCAGGTTCCATTCCGGACAAGGGCACATGCCCGGGGTATAGGTTCGATCCCCAACAGGGAGCATGCAGAAGGCAGTTATCACTGATGTTCCTATCTCTCTCTCCCTCTCCCTCCCTCCCTGAAATCAATAAAAAATACTAAAATAAATAAATAAAGTAAAATAAAAAATAATCAAAGGGACTGGTAAGTAATGACCATGATGATGCCTGTAATTGCCAGCATAGGCAAGCACAAGAAAAGGTCAAATTAAAAAAGGGGGAGAAAACGGAAGTGCCATCTGCCTGGATACGTGGCCCAGCGGGGCTAAGGGAAAACAAGCGGGTCATTAGGCTCCTGTGCGCGTTCAGCACGGCCTGTGTCCAGGCTGAGGGAGAGGGAGGGCCGTGCAGACACACAGGCCCTACCAACTGCCCAGAAAACCGGAGGACAAGCAGTGCCCACAGTCCACATGTGGGTACAGGGCATCCCCCCAGGGGGCGGGGGACGTGGGGAAATGCAAAGGCCAGTCCGGCTCACTGGGGAGAGCGAGGCCTTACCCTGAGAGGACACAAGGGCAAAGTTCTCCAGCATCACTTCGAGGTACAGGCTTCTCTGAGCCTCAGGAAGGAGGCGCCACTCCTCCTGGGAGAAGTGCAGAGCCACATCCTCAAAGGCCACGCGGTCCTGTCAGGATTGAACAAACAGAACATGAGCAGCGTCTCTCAGCACCACCTCCTCATCCTTCTTCCCAAAGCTCATCATCCACAAGGGCCGTGGCCGGCAAACTTATTAGTCATCATAGCCAAATATCAACAGTTCAACGATGAAATTTCTTCAGAGAGCCACACTTTTTAAACTTAAACTTCTTCTAACGCCACTTCTTCAAAATAGACTTGCCCAGGGCGTGGTATTTTGTGGAAGAGCCACACTCAAGGGGCCAAAGAGTCCCATGTGGCTCGAGAACCGCAGTTTGCCAACCACAGCCCTAAACAGTTCGTCTCAGTGGATAGAGCATAGGCCTGCGAACTGAAGGGTCCTGGGTTCAATTCTGGTCAAGGGCATGAAACAAGGGCAACTCATTGATGTTTCAAACTCTCTATCCCTCTCCCTTCCTCTATGTTAAAAAATCAATTAAAAAAATATTTTTTTAAAAAACTCACCACAGCCAAAACTGGTTTGGCTCAGTGGATAGAGCATTGGTCTGCTGACTGAAAGGTCCCGGGTTCTATTCCAGTCAAGGGCATGTACATTAGTTGTGGACACATCCCCAGTGGGGGTTGTGCAGGGGGTTGTGCAGGAGGCAGCTGGTCGATGTTTCTCTCATCATTGATGTTTCTAGCTCTATATCCCTCTCCCTTTCCCTCTGTAAAAAATCAATAAAATATATTAAAAACAAAACAAAACAAACAAAAAATACCTCACCACAAAGTCTGGTGAATCCATAAAGCAGTGGATAAACAGAAGCCCCGCCGTCTTGGGTCATTCCTCTCTTTTTTAAAAAAAAGTATTTTTATTGATTTCAGAGAGGGAGGGAGAAGGAGAGAGAGAAACATCAATGATGAAGATCAGCTGCCTCCTGGGCACCCCCTACTAGGGATCAAGCTCACAACCCTCATATGTGCGTTTGGCCAGAATTGAACCTGGGACCCTTCAGTCCGCAGGCTGCCGCTCCCTAACCGGCTGGGGCTAGCGTCATCTCTTAATTCCTCCTCCGTCTTCATGGCTATTCCATGGAAGCCTGGGCTCCCCCACCCCCTGCCAGGTCAACCCCCCTCCCACACTATTCCCGCCATCACTTCTCTCCTCAGCACGCACCTCCTCTTTCTCATCCCATAATCAGCACTGCCCCCACGACCTGCATTCCCCTCCTCACAGGTGACCCCCCGCTCCACCCTGCTCCACAACCAGAGCCAGCCTTTTGCATGCCTCCATCACGAAACCCTCCCCAGATCTCCAGGCCTCCACTCACTGTTCTCTGAAACTCCTCAGACCAACAATGACGAGTGTTATTGGATAAAGATGAGTGTCAAACTCAAAAAACAACTTGCAGCTCTGGCCGGGTTGGCTCAGTGGGTAGAGCGTCGGCCTGTGGACTGAAGGGTCCCAGGTTCCATTCCTGGTCAGGGCACATGCCCAGATTGCGGGCTTGGTCCCCAGTGGAGGGCGTGCAGGAGGCAGCCGGTCAGTGATTCTCTCTCATCATTGATGTTTCTATCTCTCTCTCCCGCTCCCTTTCTCTCTGAAAGCAATATAAAAAATAACTTGCAAAAAGATTAAACGTTGCTCAGCAAACAATTTCCGATCGTTTACAAGCAATGGGAAGGATTTTAAAGGAAGGAAAATAGCTGCCACATCAACTGAAGGAAGGACAAATGGAAAACCAAAAAGTCATCAGTAAAATGTTGCTTCAACGGCACGAAAGAAAGTCTTTTTTACATTGAATTGTGACTGGCGATAAAAAGTGCATTTAGCCGAAACCGGTTTGGCTCAGTGGATAGAGCATCAGCCTGCGGACTGAAAGGTCCCGGGTTCGATTCCAGTCAAGGGCATGTACCTGGGTTGCGGGCACATCCCCAGTAGGGGGTGTGCAAGAGGCAGCTGATCAATGATTCTCTCTCATCGATGTTTCTAACTCTCTAACCCTCTCCTTTCCTCTCTGTAAAAAATTAATAAAATATATTTTGGAAAAAAAGAAAAAGAAAAGCACATTTATTTTGAGAATCCCAAACACACAAAACCATGGGTTGATCCGGGTCAACCATCAATATCGATGGCCTCTGTTGTTTCAGCTGCTAACACCAAAAATGCTGAGGTTGTTCCCAACTCCTCCTTTTCCCCCTCACCTACAGCATCCAAAATTCTACACGGCCTGTCTTTAAAAATGGACCCAGAATCCAACTTCTTCCACCTCCACCGTCACCACTCCTGCCAAACAACTTCCGTCTGGGTGAGAGCAGCTGCCCGCCCTGGGCTCTGACTCCTCCCTCAGCCCTATAGTGTGTCCTCCGTGTGCAGCCAGAGAAAAGCTGCTACAACCCGGAGAGACCAAACCCTTCTTCTGGTCCAAACCTCCATCTGCCTCCACAATAGATGCCCAACTTCGTAGGCAGCTACATTACAGGTATGATTACTATATTTCTTTATTGATTTTAGAGAGGAAGGGAAAAGGAGAGATAGAAACATTAATGATGAGAATCATTGATCCACTGCTTCCTGCATGCCCCCTACTGGGGATTGAACCCACAACCCAGGCATGTACCCTTGACCGGAATCAAACCCGGGACCCTTCAGTCCTCAGGCCAACGCTCTATCCACTGAGCCAAACCAGCTAGGCCTCCCCCACCCCTACTCTTTATTCTTAAAAAGAATGGAGACCGGCCCTGGCAGGGTGGTTCAGTTGGTTGGAGAATTGTCCTGTATACCAACAGATTGCAGGTACGGACCTAGTTTGGGGGTTTGATCCCTGTCAGGACATGGAGAGGATTGATGTTTCTCACATCAATGTTTCTCTCTCTCAAGTCAATAAGCTTATCTCTGGATGAGGACTGAAAAACAATTTATTAAAATAAAAATAAAATAGAAATAGAAAAAGGAAAAAAATGGAGATCTGCACTGCCTATTCCTGGCTTCCTCCAAGCATCTGCACCTGCTGGTGTCTGGGTTAACCCCCCACACCTCTGCACACTGGTTGCCAGAAATGAGAGCCCATTGGTGCCAAGGGAGCAGGTGTCCAAGGAATCCCCGGCCGCCCTGGAGTCGGGTGCCCTCTGTGCTGCCCGAGCCAGCTGTGACCTTGGGCAAGAACCCAAGTAGCTGGGCGAGCACAGTGGCAATGGCGGGACCGGGGCATCCCCCTTGGGCTTGCTCACTCCCATCCTAGACTTGCTCTCTCTGAGCAGCCTTTTTTTTTCTTTCTTTTTTTCCTGTTTCTGAGCCACTTTTGTAAAACATTAAAAGGCCTGTCACAGCCCTAGCTGGTTTGGCTCAGTGGATAGTCTGGCCAGTGGACCAAAGAGTCCTGGATTTGATGTGTTTTTCTCACATTAATATTTGTCTGTCTTTCCCTCTCTCTAAACATCAATGGAAAAATATCCTCAGGTTGCCCTGACTGGTTTGGCTCAGTGGATAGAGCATCAGCCTGCAGACTCAAGGGTCCCAGGTTCCATTCCGGTCAAGGACATGTGCCTTGGTTGCGGACACATCCCCAGTGGGATGTGTGCAGGAGGCAGCTGATCGATGTTTCTAACTCTCTATCTCTCTCCCTTCCTCTCTGTAAAAAATTAATATATATTTTAAGGAAAATATCCTCAAGTGTAGGTTAAAAAAATCCTATATAATAAAAGCCTAATATGCTAAGTGCCTGGTCATCTGGTTGGGCGTTCAACCCATCAAAACATAATATGCTAATGATAGCCCTAACCGGTTTGGCTCAGTGGATAGAGCCTTGGCCACCAGACTCAAGGGTCCCAGGTTCCATTCTGGTCAAGGGAACATGCCCGCCCACAGGGGAATGTGCAGGAGGCAGCTGATCAATGTTTTCCTCTCATCCATGTTTCTGGCTCTCTGTCCCTCTCCCTTCCTCTCTGTGAAAAGTAAAAAAAATATATATATTTTTTAAATATGCTAATATCCCTAACCGGTTTGGCTCAGTGGATAGAGCGACCTCCTGTGGACTGAAAAGTCCCAGGTTTGATTCCAGTCAAGGGCATGTACCTTGGTTATGGGCACATGCCCAGTAGAGAGTGTGCAGGATGCAGCTGGTCAATGCTTCTCTCTCATTAATGTTTCTAGCTCTCTATCCCTCTCCTTATCTCTGTAAAAAAAAAAAATCAAGCTGGGACCGGTTTGGCTCAATGGATAGAGCGTCGGCTTGGGGACTGAAGGGTCCCAGGTTCGATTCAGGTCAAGAGCATGTGCCTTGGTTGCGGGCACATCCCCAGTAGGGGGTGTGCAAGAGGCAGCTAATCGATGACTCTCTAATCGATGTTTCTAGCTCTCTATCTCTCTCCCTTCCTCTCTGTATAAAATCAATAAAATATATTTTAAAAAAATCAATAAAATATATTTAAAAATAAAATAAAAATACGCTAAATAATAGGCTAAGGCTGCTCAACCGCTCGCGATGACCACCAGGGGGCAGAGCTCTGACGCTCCCACTGGAAGGGTAGCTTACTGCTGGGGCCCAGCGGATCGGGACTGAGTGAGACAGACTGGACCCCCTCTGGAGCCGGCCTGCAGCCCCTCCGCAGCTGGCCAACCCCCCGTGTCCCTCCCCGGCCCTGGTCCTGCACGGCTGGGCGGGGTGCCTCGGCCTGGCCCGCGCCCTCTTGCAATCCGGGGCCCTGGGCTCTGACCCGCACTGACCACCAGGGTGCAGATGCTCCACGCAGGGGCCGCCCCCTGGTGGTCAGTGCGGTCCCACGGGGGGCGATGCTGGGCCATTAGCAGGGGGAGCGCGGGGGCGGGCGCGGTTCCACCTCCCCCAAGGGCTCCCGGACTGAGGGAGACGCTCCCCCCCTCATCCCCCAAGTGACAGCTCGCTCCCCACCCCGGGCCTCTGGGTAAGAACACAGAAAGGCCGCTCCCGCTTCCCGTCACAAACTCCCAAGAGGCGCCAGGCCCTGCCCGTCCAGACGCCAGTCTGTCTCTTGCGCGCGGGAAAGTGGCGCCCAGATTCCCGGATGTTCCCGGCTCAGCCTGCCGCCCCTGCGCGGCTCCCCCGGCGACCCCTCAGCCCCTCAACACCTCCTGCCCTCCCCCCTTACACCGGGCCGGACGCGGGGCCTGGGCGGCAGGAGGGACGGGCGCCCGCCCCGGGGCGGCAGGGGTGGGTGGGGGGTGCGGCGGGGAGGCCCGGGGGACGCGCTCACCTCATCCGGGCGCCTCGGCGAAGCGGCCGCCGCCGCCGCCATCGGGCTCTGCGGGCGGGGGCGGCCCGGGTGGGCGGCCTCGGTCTCGATCCGGTCAGTCCCCGGAGGAGCCGCCGGCCTCGGCCCCGCGTCTCCGCGGCGGAAACCGGGACTCCGGCGCCTCCCCGGTGCCAGCGGGGCCTTCTGGGCCCACCGCTCCGCAAGCCTCCGACGCGATGTAAGGGTCCGGGAGGCGCAGAGTGACCGCCACGGAGGAGGCCGGAAGTCCCGCCTCGGCGGGCTCCGCAGACCGGAAGGATCTCGTCCTGAGCCGCCCCATTGGCTCGTCATCGCGGCCTCTCGCGCACAGACTCCTGGGTAATGTAGTTCCCAGAGCCCAGGGGCCCCAGAAGGAATGTGTTCCCGCTTGGATCAGGGAATGGGCAGGCCTGAGGAAGGGTGAGGGGCCCGGGGGTGGTGCACAGTGGATAGCTCCTCGGCCTGTGGACTCAGGGGTCCCAGGTTCCATTCAGGTCAAGGGCATGTACCTTGGTTGCAGGCACATCCCCAGCAGGTACGCAGGAGGCAGTGATAAATATTTCTCTGATCCCTCTCCCTCCCTGCCTGTAAATAAATCAATTAAAAAATATATTTTTTTTAAATGGTGAGGGGCTGAGCGGGTGGTGCTCAGTGGATAGAGTGTCTGCCTGTGCACTTAAGGGTTCTGGGTTTGATCCCAGTGGCCTGGTTGTGGCTTCATACCCAGGAGGGGGTGTGCAAGAGACAGCAAACCCTCGCTCCCTTCCTCACTGAAATCATTTTTTTTTTTAAGGTTTTTAAATAAGTGGTGAAGAGAAGAGGGCAGACTGGCAGGGGATGTGAATCAAGCGGGTATACTTTCTAACTTCTTTTTCTAGAAATATATTTTATTGATTTTTTTACAGAGAGGAAGGGAGAGGGATAGAGAGAAACATCCCTGAGAGAGAAAAACATCGATCAGCTGCCTCCTGCACACCCCCGACTGGGGATGTGCCTGCAACCAAGGTACATGCCCTTGACCGGAATCGAACTTAGGACCCTTCATTTGCAGGCTGATGTTCTATCCACTTAGCCAAACCAATCAGGATTATCATTTTCATTTTTATCGATGCAGAAAATGCACTCCCAAGAGGCCAATTGGCAGGTAAAGATTGGCAATGATTTAAAAGGACTGTGTTTGCCCTGGCTGGTCTGGCTCAGGCCTAAGGAAGTTCATAACAATGTACCTACCTATATAGTTTAAGTTTAAAAAATTTGGTTCCACCGAAACCGGTTTGGCTCAGTGGATAGAGCAACGGCCTGTGGACTGAAGGGTCCCAGGTTCGATTCCGGTCAAGGGCATGTACCTTGGTTGGGGGCACATCCCCAGTGGAGGGTTTGCAGGAGACAGCTGATCAATGATTCTTTCTCATCGATGTTTCTAACTCTCTGTCCCTCTCTCTTCCTCTCTGTAAAAAATCAATAAAATATACATATATTTTTAAATGTGGCTCTCTTGTCGACCTTCAGACTGAAGGATCCCAGGTTCGATTCCAGCCAAGGGTGCATGCTGGGGTTGTGGGCTCCATCCTTTCGGGGCATGGGGGAGGCAGCTGATTGGTGGTTCTCTCTCATCATGGATGTTTCTCTCTCTCTCCTCACTTCTCACTTCCTCTCTGAAATCAATAAAGAAATATATTTTTTAAAAATTTGGCTCTCGCCAGAACCAGTGTGGCTCAGTGGATAGAGCGTCAGCCTGAGGACTGAAAGGTCCCAAGTTCGATTCTGGTGAAGGGCATATACATTGGTTGCGGGCACATCCCTGGTAGGGTGTGTGCCGGAGGCAGCTGGTTGATATTTCTCTCTCATCGATGTTTTTAGCTCTCTATCCCTCTCCCCTTCCTCCCTGTAAAAAAATCAATAAAATACATTTAAAATAAAAATAAAAATTTGGCTCTCACAAGAAATTTCAATCTTTGTCCTGTTGATAGTAGGCTCCGCTGACTAAGGAGTTTGCCGACCACGGACTGGGTTAGGGAAATGGGGGTGTTCCCCAGCATGGACTTGTAGTTCTGGTCAGGAGCAAGGAAAGAAGATACAACTTCTCGTTCCTACGTACAAAGCTGGACTTTCCTCTTGCCGATGACACGATAATTACCCGTGCACCACGAGACCTGAGAGGCAAGGAGGACTAGGTTATGGGTTTATTTTGTGTTACAGACTTCGGCTTCCTCCCCTGAGGGTTCGCAGGTCCATAGGCTGGCGTCCCAGAGTTCCGCGTGGAGCTTCCTTTACTGCGTCGGCTCGCTCTCCGATTCTCCTCCGTCAAGGCGCTGTCTTCGTTTGGATCGAATGGCTAAAATAGAGACACAGTGTCATTAAGGTACAAATACTGGAAGGAACAGAGAGGGAGGGAAAGGGCCGATGGGAAAAGGATGGGAAAATGAATGGTGGGGTTTTGAGGACATGAGGCGTGTGACTTGATAAGGAGGGTGAAATTAAAAAAATAATAATAATAATTACTTTTTAAAATTTCTTTGATTAAGGTATCACGTATTTGTCCTCAACCCCCATTCCAATCCCCTACTCCCCCACTCATGCCCCCACCCCCTATTGTCCTTGACCACTGGTTAGGCTCATATGTGTGCACACAAGTCCTTTGGCTGATCTTTCTCTTTTATCCCCACCCTCCCTCTCAGGTCCAACTGTCTGACCCATGGCTCCTTATCTCTGGGTCTGTTCTTGTTCATCAGTCTATGTTGTTCACCATTTCCCCCAGATGAGTGAGATCATGTCCTACTGGAAAAATACTTATAAGAATTGAAAATGAGACAAGCAATCATGGTTATGCTGAGAGGCATATGAATCAGTCTGTAGAGAGTTCCTTTCTGGGCCACCAGTTCTTTTGAGAACCAATTTCAATGTCAAACAGTTCTTTATGTGTACATGACAGCAATGATATTACAGTTCTGGATGGGAGGTGAAAATTTTAAATTTTAAATGATTGTCCCATATTTTCTGTAGTCAAGCATTATTTTTTTCCCCCCCATTGGGGAAAAAAATAATTTTTTTTATTTATTTAGTGGGGTAACATTGATCAGCACAACGACACACGGAGTGGCCAGATGATGATGCTCTCTGAACACAATCATCTGGCCACTCAGTGTATATCCTATAGAATAACAGGCTAATATGCAAATGGTCCCCTCCACCAGGAGTTCGACCAGCAGGCAGGCCGGCCAACCGCCCATGTCCCCTCCCTCTGGCCAGGCTGGCCGGACCCCACCCATGCACGAATTCATGCACCGGGCCTCTAACATATATATGTTGTTCAGAGATCATCATAATCTGGCAACACAGGCTGCAGGTTTCAGGTATTCAATTCTGTATCACATCATCCGTACTATACTGTATTTTGGGCTGATCACCCAACGACACGTCTCCTCCCATCACCATAGATCTCCCTATTCCCTCGTCCACTTCCCCCCAAACCCTTTCCCCATCAGTAACCAACATAACTGTGGTCTGTGTCTAGAAGTTTGTACTCAGTCTTTTTTATTTTATTTTATTTTATTTTATATTTTATTAATTTTTTACGGAGAGGAAGAGAGAGGGATAGAGAGTTAGAAACTTCGATGAGAGAGAAACATCGACCAGCTGCCTCTTGCACAGCCCCTACTGGGGATGTGCCCGCAACCAAGGTACATGCCCCCGACTGGAATCGAACCTGGGACCCTTCAGCCCACAGGCCGACGCTCTATCCACTGAGCTACACCGGTTTCGGCAATAAAATATATTTAAAAAAGAAAAAGAAAAGAGAAAAGAGAACCAAGCTGTCACGGCCAGCTCAGCTCTCCTGTGCATTTTTTTTTTTTTTTAAATTTTTATTTTATTGATTTTGTAGAGAGAGAAAAGGAGAGAGAGAGTTAGACACATCGATGAGAGAGAGTCATCAATCAGCTGCCTCTTGCACACCCCCTACTGGGGATGTGCCCACAACCAAGGCACACGCCCCTGACTGGAATTGAACCTGGGACCCTTCAGTCCCCAAGCCCACGCTCTATCCACTGAGCCACACCGGTTTCGGCAATAAAATATATTTTAAAAATAAAAGAAAAAGAAAAGAGAACCAAGCTGTCACGGCCAGCTCAGCTCTCCTGTGCCTTTTTATCTGCCCAGAGGACCTGGGGGGAGGAGGGGGAAGAGGTTCCTACCTGAATTGATGAAGGAGGCCAGCTCCTTCTGGCTCCCGAAGAGCAGGTGGCCAGCCCCGCCCAGGCGCCCGGCCCCCACGGCCTCCTCCTCGTCCTCGGACAGCGGCATCTTGATGTCGTCATACAGCGCCGCCAGCTGCTCCCGCTCCTCGTCCCGGCCCAGGCTGCTGGAGGGCGACACGGGAGAGCTCAGGAACACGGGGTCCACAACATGCCCCCCCGTCTTTTTGGGGGGGATGCTAATAAACTTGGGCTAGTTGTGTTGCCCACCCCCCAAATGTCCTTATTGATTTTCATGTTACATATTGTTTTAATTGATGTCACAGAGGAAGGGAGAGGGGGAGAGAGAGAGAGAGAAACAAGCAGTGATGAGAGAGAATTATGGATCGGCTGCCGCCTGCATGTCCCACACGGGGGATGGAGCATGTTCCCTGGTCAGGAATTGAACTGTGACCTCCTGGTTCATAGGTCAAAACTCAACCACTGAGCCATGTGGGCTGCACTGCTGCTGCTGCTTATTATTATTGTTATTGATATTTTATTTATTTTTACAGAGTGGAAGGGAGAGAGAGAGGGATAGAAAGTTAGAAACATCGATGAGAGAGAAACATCGATCAGCTGCCTCTTGCACACCCCGTATTGGGGATGTGCCCGTAACCAAGGTACATGCCCTTGACCGGAATCGAACCTGGAACCCTTCAGTCCCCAAGCCGACACTCTATCCACTGAGCCAAACCGATTTCAGCTCTTATTATTATTATTATTATTTTTTAAATATATTTTATTGATTTTGTACAGAGAGGAAGGAAGAGAGATAGAGAGTTAGAAACATCGATGAGAGAGAGTCATCGATCAGCTGCCTCTTGCACACCCCCTACTGGGGATATGCCCGCAACCAAGGTACATGCCCTTGACCGGAATCGAACCCGGGACCTTTCAGTCCTCAAGCCGACGCTCTATCCATTGAACCAAACCGGTTTCGGCATATTATTTTTAATATATATATTTCTTTCTTTTTTTTAAATATTTTTACTGATTTTTTACAGAGAGGAAGGGAGAGGGATAGAGTTAGAAATATCTGATGAGAGAGAGAGACATCGATCAGCTGCCTCCTGCGCACACCCTACTGGGGATGTGTCCGCAACCAAGGTACATGCCCTTGACCGGAATCGAACCTGGGACCCTTCAGTCTGCAGGCTGATGCTCTAGGACTGAGCCACACCAGTCGGCTGAAAACACTAGTCTTGAAACATATAAAGGTTATAACTTTGTGATGATAAGAATCGCCATCATCACCACCACCACCACCAAACAGTAACCCAGGTGACGTGTGTCTGACTTCAGGCCGTGCTACTGGCGAAGGACTTACTAGATCACGTAGGAAACAGCGACCCCGCAGACCAAGGCCAGGCTCAAGGCCGTACACGCGATGGTGACCACGAACACGAAGGCGCGTCTCCCTGGACTCGACGCTGAAAGGGAGAGAAATGACGTTCTCGTGCAATTCCTCTGTCGCTGGGCCTGTCAGTTACGCACAGAGTGGCCAGATGATGATGATGACCTCTGAACGCCTAATAATCTGGCCACTCAGTGTGTATCCTATAGAATAAAAGACTAATAGGCAAATGGTCCCCTCGACCAGGAGTTCGACCAGCAGGCAGGCCGTCCAGCTGCCCACGTCCCCTCCCCCCTGGCCAGGCTGGCTGGACCACACCCATGCACAAATTCATGCACCAGGTCTCTAATGTGTATACACACACACACACACACACACACATTGAGAGGCCAGATTATTATGCATTCAGAGATCATCAATCTGGCCACTCAGTGTATATTAGTCAGTTATACTATTGTTACAAAGGGGAATGGGAGATATGATTGGGAATACCATTAAAAAATAGCATTTTAGCCCGGCCAGCTTGGCTCAGTGGTTGAGTGTCGACCTATGATTCAGGAGGCCACAGTTCTATTCCCAATCAGGGCACAGGCTTGGGTTGTGGCTCAATCCCCAGTGTGGGGTGTGCAGGAGGCAGCCGATCCATGATTCTCTCATTATTGATGTTTCTTTATCCTTCTCCCTTCTCTGAAATCAATAGAAATATACACTGAGTTTCCAGATTATGATGCTCTCTGAACACATAATAACCTGGTCACTCAATGTATATCCTGTAGAATAAAAGGCTAATATATGGCCGAAACCGGTTTGGCTCAGTGAATAGTGTCTGCCTGCATACTGAGAGGTCCCAGGTTTGATTCCGGTCAAGGGCATGTACCTTGGTAGCGGGCATATCCCCGGTAGGGGTTGTGCAGGAGGCAGCTGATAGATGCTTCTCTCTCAATGATGTTTCTAGCTCTCTATCCTTCTCTCTCCCTTCATCTCTGTAAAAAATCAATAAAATATATTTTAAAAAAGGCTAACATGCAAATTGTATTTTTTTAAAATATGTTTTATTGACTTTTTTACAGAGAGGAAGAGAGAGGGATAGAGAGTTAGAAACATCGATGAGAGAGAAGCATCGACCAGCTGCCTCCTGCACACCTCCTACCGGGGATGTACCCGCAACCCAGGTACGTGCCCTTGACCGGAATCGAACCCGGGACCTTTCAGTCCGCAGGCTGACGCTCTATCCACTGAGCCACACAGGTTTCGGCAGCAAATTGTATTTTTATTACAATTTAAAAAAAAACTATTTGTAAAATAAAATAAATAAAAATAAAAAATAAAGTAATATAATAAATAAATAAAATAAATGAGGCGAGACTGCACGACCTGTACGGACAGTTGAGTTCCCACGTCCTTGTGGGCTGCCCTCCCACCTGCCTCCCTTGCTCGGTAGGGAAGTGGGTCCCTGGGCCAGGCCGGCCAGGCTGTGATTCCAGGGCAGAGGCCCCTGCCATCCACGTCGCCCACACCCAAAGGGAGGGGCCTGGCTTGACCTCTGGAGGCTGCCCTGAGGGGCCCAGGGGGCTCGCGCTGTGCGGAAGGACATCGCAGGGCAGCCTGGGGCCACGCCACCCACCTGCCTCCGGGGCGGAGGGGCCGGCGGCCAGCGAATGCGCGGAGGCGTCCTTCTCGGGCTCCGTGGGGTCATGCCTCCTACTGCCTGGAAACAGAAAACAATAAACGCCCTGACCGGTGTGGCTCACTGGATAGAGTGTCGGCCTGGGGACCGAAGGGTCCCAGGTTCGATTCCGCTCAAGGGCATGTGCCTTGGTCTCGGGAACATCCCAGTAGGGGGTCTCTCTCCCTCTTTTTTTTTTTTTTTAATATATATTTTATTGATTTTACACAGAGAGGAATTGAGAGTGATAAGAGTGTTAGAAACGTCGATGAGAGAGAAACATCGACCAGTTGCCTCTTGCACACCCCATACCAGGGATGTGCCCGCAACCAACGTACATGCCCTTGACCGGAATCGAACCCGGGACCTTTCAGTCCGCAGACCAACGCTCTACCGCTGAGCCAAACCGGTTTAGGCTCTCTCTCCCTCTTCCTCTCTGAAGTCAATAAAAATATATACATACATACTAGAGGCCCGGTGCACACATTCTTGCACAGGTGGGGGTCCCTCGGCCTGGCCGGCAATGGGGACTGATCAGGGGAAGCTGGGCGGCTGAGGGGGGCTGGCCCGCCATGGAAGGTTGGCTGTGGGATCGCAGACTACCCCAGGGCAGCTCCTGCATTGAACATCTGCCCCCTGGTGATCAGTGCACATCAAAGCAACCGGTTGATGGGTTGTTCGGTCACTTAGGCTTTTAAATATATTTAGTTTTTTTTTAAATAATATATTTTTGTTGATTTTTTACGGAGAGGAAGAGTGATAGTTAGAAACATTGATGAGAAACATCAACCAGCTGCCTCTTGCACATCTCCTCCTGGGGGCGTCCCCACAACCAAGGCACATGCCCTTGATCAGAATCAAACCTGGGGCCCTTCAGTCCACAGGCCAATGCTCTATCCACTGAGTCAAACCAGCTTAGGGCTATATGTATAGGTATTTTTTTGAAAGGCCTGTCGTTTTTCCAACCAGGTCTGAACTCACCTGGATAAGGCAAGCATTCACACAACGGCCATCCCAACAGAAACAAAACCAGGAAGGAGAAGGAACTCAGGGGCACGTCCATCACGCCAGTGCCGCTGGCCTGTTACCCTGTGGGCGAAGGGAGCGGTTCCGCTGGAGCCCAGCATCTGCCCTGAAGCACGGCCTCCTGCCCAGCACCTGGGTTCTTTTTGCCTTGGAGCCACCAGTGTGAGGTCAGCCCAGGCTGCCATGTGGAATCCCCCCACGGAACCATGCCAGCCAATGGGAGGCTGAGAGGAGAGGGATTGTGGGGCAGGAATGACGACGGGACTGATCACGGAGGCAGCAGAGTGAGGTCCTGTCCCAGCCTCCTGGGGTTCCTCTTCCATCTGCTTTTGGTCCCAGGCCTGCCCGGCCCCTCCTCTGTCTCCCCAACCTTCCCCAGGTTCTCCCTCCTGGGCCCACCCCACACCCCAGACCCCATACCCCGCCCTTGGCTACCTCCTTAGCCGTGTGTCCACAACACAGACCTGGGCCCATCTGAAACCAATAGAAGTATATTTTAATATGTTGGGTTTTTTTGTTTTGTTTTTTACAGAGAGAAAGGGAGAGAAATAGAGTTAGAAACATCGCTCAGCTGCCTCCTGCACACCCCCCATCGGGGATGTGCCCGCAACTAAGGTATATGCCCTTGACAGAAATCTAACCTGGGACCCTCCAGTCTACAGGCCAACGCTCTCGCCAGAGTCAAACTGGTTAAAGCAGACATATATTTTAAAAATAAAACACAGTAGCTCTGGCCAGTGTGGCTCAGTGGATAGATTTTCGGCCTTCGGACTGAAGGGTCCCAGGTTTGATTCCAGTCAAGGGCACATGCCTGGGTTGTGGGCTCGGTCCAACGTGCAGGAGTCAGCTGATCAATGACTCTGTCTCATTGATGTTCCTCTCTCTCTCCCTCTCCCTTCTCTGAAATCAGTAAAAATATATTATATATAAAAATAAAAAAAAGACTGTGAGGAAATAAATTCCAGTTGTTTAAGCCATCCAGTCTATAACATTAAAAAAAAAAAAAAAAAAAGGCCCTGGCTGGTGTTGCTCAGTGGATAGAGCATCAGCCTGTGGACTGAAGGGTCCTGGGTTCGATTCTGGTTGAGGGTACATGCCTGGATTGTGGGGTTGGTCCTCATTGGGGGACATGCAGGAGGCAGCCAATCAATGATTCTCTCTCATCATTGATGTTCCTATCTCTTTCCCTCTTCCTTCCTCTCTGAAATCAATATATTTGAAAATAATAATAAAATAAAATAGAATAAAATAAAATAAAACACCCTCAAGCAATGGAAACAACTGGTGGTTTCGTTGCCAGCTTCGAGCTGTGGATAGCAGTCAACAGTGACACCACCCCGCCCCCACCCCGGTCTGACTGTGGTGTCTTGCCACACCTGTGCCTGCCCGTCCTGGCAAACCCACCCAGTTGCCCGAACTCCCTCCTGCAGCCCTTGCTGGGTGGGCAGGAGGCTGCGAGCCCTGAGAGGTGGGGAGTCAGGGGGCACCACCTGTGGGAGCTCCTGAGCGGATTCGGGCAGGGACCATCTTCCGGCCCCAGGCCAGTTCCTCACGCTGGGGGTCAGCACCCAGATGGACCGTCTGCCCGGTGTTTCCAACCAACACCCCGGGGCCTCTCCAGGAAGGCCTGCTGGCCCCTTAGGACAGCCCCTAGGCAGACACAGGACAACGTGCCACCTGGAGAGAAGGCACCAAGGCGCCCTATTCGGCTCGCCTTCCCCGCTCTGTGTGGTGAGCTGCCTCCCCGGGTGAATCCAGCCGTAGGGCAATCCCTCCGTCTGGAGAACATGCGGAGACATAACCGGAATTCCAGGGAGACCATGCGGAGCGCTGCGCCCTCTGCGCGGAGGGACACGCTGGTCTCTGACTTGTCTGCGCCTCCAGCAGGTCCTCCGGCGGCTGCTCTGCCTCAGCCTCGGGGCTGCGGGTGGTGAGAGGCTGGGGGCCCCGGGTTCCAGGAAATGCAGGGAGTTTGAACGTCCGACCCAGAGGTCACACTCCGAAGGGGGCTCCGCCCTCGTGTTACCAGGAACCCTCCAGGACAGAGAGCCAGGTCACTTCAGTTCTCATCACTTTGGAATTGCTGGATTTTTATTAGCAAATATCTACCATAGAAACACTGAACAATAACAAAACCACCAGCGGGGGTGGTCGCTGGAGAGTCGGCATAACTGTGGTTAAAAACATGGACTCTGAACCAAACAATCCCAGGGCCACTCTGGACTAGCTGGGTCCTCAGGTCGGTTTCTCAACATCTCTGCCTCAGTTTCTCCATTTGTAAAACTGAGATAATAATAGCACCCACCTCATAAGGGAATTGAACACCTGAATAACCGAAAAGCATTTAAAACAAAGGTCAGCACATGGTGAGTGCTGCATGTGTTCATAAAACTTTTAAAAATTAAGTGGGTTAATTTATCCAGGGGTCTTTCCAGTCCTTTATCCATACACAATGTTAGATATTATAGTAGACACATATATACAACTCTGTCCTTGGTATTCCTTCAGGGTATGTACTCTGACGCAGTGTCTATAAATTATACCTTACAGTGATTGCCTAACACAAACTCCAAACATCCAGCATTGAGTAAACCATGAACATGGACACACTGTGATGCTAAATGTCACTTTTATGTCCCAACAACACCAGCCTCATACTTCTAGAAAATAACTTTTCTACCATTAGTAATCTCATTTCCTAATTTTTCTAAGGTTAATCTTAACTAACAGTAAATATCCAATTCAACACTTTTTTTTTCCTTAAATTCAAACTCAATATTCCATATTCTATTCCTGGAAGGGCACCCAGACCCTCCCCCTAATAGCAAAATCTGTATTTCCATAATTATGCACAGAACATTATTATAAAGCTTCCCATCCAATACTCCAGCTTGATGCAAAACAGCGTATTTCCAGCTGAAACACTTCCTAGTACCAGGCTTTTCTCCATCAGTGCACTCTGATCCACAAATCCTTGAGATCACTTACTAAAAGGGTCTCATTCCTTACATTCACATTCCTCCAGCAAGATCCTGGTGGACTGTGGCTTGCTTTCTTCACTGTAATTATCTGACTTTAAATCAGGGCTACCTAACTGCTACGCTTTCCTCTATCATTTTCATTCCTACGTTTCTTCTAGATGTTTCTATTGAGTAGTAAGAGGGAGAGCCTCCCTGAACTCTCACTAAAAAACAACCCCTCCTGATTATATTTATAGGGCGTTTTTCAAAGTACCAGATGTACAAGGAAAGGAAACCTCTCATCGGTTCAGTTCACACTTTCTCTGCACTGTGGCTCCTCTGGTGCTGCAGCAGGGCCGAGTGGCCACTGTAGGACTTCCCACAGTCGGTGCAGATAAAGCGCTTCTCCCCGCTGTGCATTCTCTGGTGGATGATGAGGGAGGAGTTCTTGCAGAAAGCCTTCTCACAGTGGTTACATTTGTAGGGTTTTTCTCCAGTATGGTTTCTCAGATGCACGATGAGGGAAGAACTCTCGTTGAATGCCTTCCCACATTCGTTACACCTATATGGTTTCTCTCCGGTGTGAGTTCGCCGGTGCGCAATCAGGTGAGAGCTGCAGTTAAAGGACCTTTCGCACTGATTACACTTATAGGGCTTCTCCCCCGTGTGAATTCTCCGATGGGCAACAAGGTGACAGCTCTGGCTGAAGGACTTCCCACATTTATTGCACTCATAGGGCTTTTCCCCAGTGTGCGTCCTTTGATGTCTAACAAGGTGAGCCATTTGGCTACAGGATTTTCCACACTTATTACATTCGTAGGGCTTAATTCCAGAATGAATTATTTCGTGTTTAGTGAGGGCTGAGCGTTCTCTGAAGGCTTTGCCGCACTCCTGACAGTTATAGGGCTTCTCTCCCGTGTGAGTTCGCTGGTGGGCGATAAGGTGGGAACTCCAGCTGAAGGACTTTCCACATTCAGTACACTTATATGGTTTTGCTCCGGAATGAGTTCTTTCATGTTTACTGAGAGCGGAGTAATCCCGAAAAGCTTTTTCACATTCGTCACATTTGAAGGGCTTCTCTCCAGTATGCATCCTCATATGGGCAATCAGATGGGAGCTCCAGCTGAAAGACTTCCCACACTCGGTGCATTCAAAAGGTTTTTCTCCGGTATGAGTCCTCTGATGGCCAATCAGATGGGAGTTCCAGTTGAAAGACTTCCCACACTCATTACACACATAAGGCTTCTCCCCCGTGTGAATCCTCGTGTGCACAATGAGGTGGGAGTTCCAGCTGAAGGCTTTCCCGCATTTATTACATTCATAGGGTTTTATTCCAGTGTGAGTCCGTTCATGTTTAGTCAGGGCTGAACGGTTCCTAAAAGCTTTTCCACATTTATCGCATCCGTAGGGCTTCTCTCCACCGGTGTGAGTTTTCTTGTGCTGGATAAGGTAAGAGCTCCAGATGAAAGAGGTCCCGCATCCACTGTACTCATAGGGTTTCTCTGCAGTGTAAGTGCTTGTATGCTGAGTGAGGAATGAGTCGTACCCAAAGACCTTCTCCCATTCGTTGTATTTATACGCTTTCTCTACAGCGCCGATATTTTGGCGCTCCATAAAGGACGAGAAGTAAAAGATATTCTCATATTCTTTGTAACCATACTGGTTTTCTCCAATAAGAGGTCTTGGATAGTCAATACACAATGGGCTCTGGTTAAAGATTTGATGGCATTCCTTATACTCATAGAGCTTTCCTCCCGTGTGCATTCCCTTATGATCACCAAAATGCAGGATGTGATTGGAAGATTTAACAGCATCAGAACGTTTGAGAAGAGCATCTGCAGCCTGCATCCTTGCAGGATGAACAGGTTGCATGCACTGGTAGAAGGCTGTGTCATAATCGTTACTTTCACAGGTAATCTTATCTGCATACATGATGGCTGACTTGTACCTCCAACTTTCACCATGTGTATCAGGCTTATAGAAATGTTCCAGTTGACAAACTTTCTGAGAGGGAATGAAGTTTGAGCTCTGGCCACACTCTGCTCCGAGTTCACAGAGTTCAGAGCCGCTGTGAGACAGCACTTGCTTCTGCATGAAGATCATCTGCCTCCTAGCTGTACTCTGGTTCACACGGTATATCTGCAATTGGTCGTCACATCCCAAAATTTCTAACCTGGAGAACCAAGGATCATCCCACACGTATCGTTCCAACTTCATGCGATGGGACTGTTCTTCCTCAAAAATGCGACGCCTTGGGACCAACGCTCTACTTTCAGGATTTCTCACCATTTCTGAAGTAAACAGAAAAAAAGAGTCATGAGGAAGAATGTTTAAGAGCAGAGTGTAAAAGGTGGGTTTTTCGTCCATATTATTGAGAGGGCAAGCGTGAACTAGTTTTCAAATAGACTCACAACTCAAGAGGAGCATCATAACAGGAAAAGGGAAAATAGTAGTTAACAGAAGCAGTTGACCACAATATAAAGTGTGCTAAGTACTAATAAAATACATTCAGCATTTTTCCATGAAAAGAAGGAAAGACTAGATGAGGGTGTGCAGGAAAGAGACAACTACCCCCATGAGTTGCTCAAACTGCACGTTCCCAAGAAGGCCTACTTAGGGACTGGGATTCGGCCAACTCCTAGAAAGCGAGGTCTCAGAATGCTCAAACTTCTGAGAGTTTTACATGCTTGAGGCTTTGAAGCATGGGTACCAATTTCTCTACATGGTTTGTGCAAACAATATTGTTTATGGTGAGCACCTTCTTTCCTTCCAGAGTCTGGAGTTTCCATGGTTGCTCCAGCCAGTCATGTGTGTGCCTGGCTGGAGCAAGA